CTCTGATAATGTTACAAATTTCCCGGAGGGGTAGTTTTCTTCCCATGGATTTCCGCCGTATTGCAAACGAGAGCCAACTTCAGGGATGCTGCAGAACCATCCCTTGCATAACCGCGATCCATGAATATAATAATAATTAGAACATCGTAATTAAAATTAATATTCCAATTTCCACCCCATCGGCATCGAGGTTAATAGGGGGGTGCCGCTCGTCTCTTCTCGGGTATTTCAACCCCGGAGCTCGGTACTTCTCGATTTTTTAAGCCTGGGGTGCGCAGTCTATCCGGTTATAAAAAGTCACCCCGGCATTCGAACTCGCCCCAGTTAAGATATCTTTAACGAGTCGAGGGGTTGGAAAGATTCGCCGGAGGAGCCCTAGAAGCTTCCGCCACATTATGTGAGGGCGGAGTTGCTCCCCGCGATATAGGGGATGATTAATGGACCGAGGGAATTTTTCAAATTAAAGACTCCGCTCGCGGTAGTTGCAAAAGTTTATTACCGAGTGGCGTGCAGGGAAGGGGTGCCCCTGGAGGGGATTGAAGAGTCGTGGAAGGCAACCCTTGTCAAGACCCCCTGGTGTCCTCTCTCTCCCTCTCAGTTGGGTTTACGGCCCCCTGTCTCGGTCCCTCCCCCTCCACCCCGTGACAAGCTTTCCCTTCCCGGCGAAAGCTCGAGCTTTCTCCCTCCCCTCCGGATCGGGAAAGAAAGAAACGCCATCTTGGGAGTACCGCGATTTCCACCCCCTTTGTTTCTCCCAACTTTTTACCCGACTTTTCCCTTGCCAGAGGAAAAGCTCGCTCGCGGGACATCCGACGTTATCAACGGCGATCCAGTTTTCGCGATAACTAAATCCAATCATATAGAGATCATCAGATAAAGATAAATTATTATCATATTATATCTCACTTGAAAACTAAATGGGGAAGCCCAAAGCTCTCCAGAGGTTACCCGATTTCGGGAAAGGAAGCGATCGCGGATAAGGAGCTCTTTTTCTTTTACAGCCGGCCTTTTTGACCAGCCGGCAGTCTCCGCCGTAAATCTCGCGATTTGCATGACAAAATACTTTCTACGTCGAGGAGCGCGTCATTTGCATGACAAAACACTTTGGGCGTAGTCGCAGTTAAAATCCGCGGAGTAAAAGGGGGACTTTTTGCATAATTCCACGTATCCCTAACGCCCTGATGATCCCCCTAATTTTTACGAGGGGCTCCTAAGTCATTTGTTAAACATTCATCTGGGAGATAAGTCAGATCGAAGTCCGGGAAATTTCCCCTGTAAAGGTAGGGAAATGAAAATCCCGAAGTTCCGGGATATCTGGAAGGTCTGATAAGCGGACGTCGAAGGAAGAGCTGAATTTTTATGGAAAAGAGGGCTTGAAAGGGGGTAAATCGCGCTTTCTTTTTCCCCGAGTCGAAAGAGGACGTTTCGAGGGTCTGTTCTCCAGACATTACACCCCATGACGATGATAAGCTTTCCCTCCTTCCCCCATAAAGCTCTCCGAGCTTCCCCCTACGTGTAGTTACGCCTTTACGCCCCTCTCGTATCGGAGGAGCGAAGGAGGGGAGGGGAAAAACGGAGGGAGGAAAAAAAGATAAAAAAACGACGAAGAAACGCCATCTTGGGGACACGACGATCCCTATGCTCGGTTTCCCCGGCGTTTCCCTCGTTTTCCCGTTTTCCCAGAGGGTGCACTCCTCCTGCCGTTGCAAAGTGCAACTGCAGCATAGTGCAGCGTTAAGGGTGAGCGCCCCATTGAAGCCTCCCCGGTTAAACAGCCTCGTAATTACGCCCGTGGAGTGGCGCATTTGTCCGCGAAACAAAAAAAGGAGAAACTGGGCGACGTTATTCCCCCATAATTGAAAAATGAAACCGAGAGGAACGAAGAAGGGGACGTAATTCGCCGAACAATGGGAGGGCCCGACCTTTTTCAGACGTTTTCAGACAGTTTCACCAGGAAGTCGGGGCGCCGGATGTCCGGGGGAACCGCGAAACTCAAAGTGAAGGAATAAGCGGAAGTCGAATTAGCCGGGTTGGCCAGTGATAAGGGACCGCCGGTGATAAGCTGCGACCAGTTCGGAGAGACGCACCCTCCCGGAATCCGCCAACCCTGGAGAAACTGGGTCGGCTTAATTCACTTACTTAATTAACCATTGCGCCGTCGACTCCGGTTCCCGCCCACCCACCACCCACCTTAGACTCGGGAGATATGACGAGGCCCAGCCCCGAACGAGAAAGTTTTCCCCTATGAATTGCACCTTCCCGACTCCGGAAAAATGCAGAAAAATTCAGGAAGTATCCAGGATCATCCCTCTAACGATCGACATAAGCGTGGGAGGTTTGAAACAATTATTGGCGGGGGTGAAAAATAATCTCCGAGCCCCCTGACATGAGGGATTCGAGCTAGTAGTAGAAGTCGGCGCATAGGTCAGACGGCTTGCTCTCCCCGTAGGGCGCTCGGAAAGTTTTTCCCCCCTTTCCTTCTCCCTTATAGGGGTCGCGGAAGGTGCACAGTCGGCCCGGAAGTTCGCCGAGATGCACAAAGGGCGGGAAGTGTACGGAACGACGGAAGTGCAGACTAGGCTCGCCGCAAGGGTTGCGGGTTGCAGAAGGGGCGCAACCCTCGCGAAGTTGGGGCCGAGGTCGCGGCGGGATTCACTTAAGTTGCCGAAAGTTACGCGGAAGAGTAATAAGTAGTCCCGCAGAGGCGCAAGAATAATGAATAAGTGGACGGGAGGGTGGAGAACCGAGGAGTCGGCTCGGAGGGCCGTCGCCGGGGGGTGGTTCTTTTTTTCGATTTTTACCGGCCAATCTCACCACCGCCGTCCTAATTAGTCGGATCCGAGGCTTTTCGCGGCATCCGGTGTAACTCCATGGGATTGGCCTGCACACATAAATCCCAGAACGGCCGTAAACACGGTCCAAGGGTCCCGAAGGGGATGGCGGTAACAAGGGGAGGGAACAAGGCGAAAAGGTCAATCGGAGGGGGTTTACCTACGGGGGTGATATTCTTACCCTGTACCCCGATTACCGGAATCGAGGGCTTAGGGCCTCCTAGAAAAGAAAATCCCCTCATCTCCCCCGCCTACCTCCTCCCCCCAAAAAAAGAAAAAGAAAACTAACCAAAAAACAGGGAACAAGAATTTAAAAAAAAAAAATGGAAAATAAACCACGTTTACGCTTGACTCTATCCCTGGTCGTAAAATCCCCTCAGGAAGTGGCTCCTCCGTGAATACGCTACGCTTCATCGGAAATCGATTTTTTAAAAATACTCGTAGCCGAGGAAAAAAATTAAAAATAATTACTAAAGGAAGGTGCACCCGTCGGGTTTACAAGGCCCTTTACGTCGAATCAAGAAGCGATGTCCTAGAGGTCCTGGAAATTCTTCCAGGTCGATTCCCGCGCCGCGGCCGCATCGCCTCTTCTCGCGGGTAAATGTTTCGAGCGGAAATTGCACGGCTGCCCGAGTGGCCCCGAATGGCGTGCTCGGGGCGAAAAACGGCCCTTCTTTCTACGCAAGGTTGGCGGTAAACGTTACCCTTACACTGTTATAAACTTTAGGCCCCGTCGTAGGGAAATAAAGATGTCGCCTGCCTTTGTCGCCCTCGCGACTCCGACTGCTCCGAGCAGCGCGTTCCGTAATGCAAACTCGCCCCCTCGTAACGAAGACACGCTCGCCGGGCTTCGAAATTACAATTTGCCCTCCATTACTCCCTATTTACACGTCCTTCCAGGCACACAATTCCGCAAATGCACTTCCCCAAATCCTAGAGCCGATCCCCCGCCCAGGGAATGCAATTCCCATTTCGCGTGGAATTATGGAAAGTCCCGTCGAGTCCTACGATCGAAATGAGCCGTCCGATCGGTCGCGAGATTTCATCCCCCAATTCGTAGGTTATGGACAAAAGAAAGGGTAAGAATGATATTCCCGAGGATTAAAGTGGCCTCTCGAGGGGGTAAGCGGCAAATCGAACGTCTCCGTCGCGGGGAGTTGAAACGCAGGGTCGGGGGCGTTTAATCAGCCCGAAACGGAAGAACAATGGGCCGAGTGGTCCAGAGTGGAGGATGCTGTTCGAGATCGAAAGATCGCCGAGGGGTTGAAGCCTCGAGCGAATGCAATCAAACGGCCTGGCCAGCCCTAAAAGCCGCCCCAAAGGCCTTCGCCCCTGGGGGGTGCTTTCTTCCAGACAGGTCCCTCCACCTTTTCCTTCTCCCTTCTTCTCCCCGACACGTCGAGGTCCTCCGCTACAAGTGACACGATAGCCCACCCCTAAAAAGCCACCCTTAAGAGAAATACCCCCGCGTCCTGGAAATTAAGTGAAAAGTTGGAAATGAAGAAATCGTCGGTCGGATTATCGGATAAAGTGGAGGCGCGCGGAATCGACCCTCCTTTTCCTTTCTTTTCTACCCCCGCGTAATTAATACGATTAGGGGAAGGAAAGCGGGAACCGGCGAGAGGGTACACGGGAGTTAATCCCGAGGGATTGTTTCGAGATTCCCCGGCCTCGCGGCAGCGAATCTCCCCCGGGAGAGTCCGCGGGATTTGCGGGGATTCCGGGAGGTGTTTTTCGGCGCTCCCTGTTTTTTCGGCTCTGTCCTTTTGTTTTGCCCCACCCTCGGGACCCCCTGTCGATCCGAGGCCTCGAATTAGTGCACTCCTGGATTATTCAAAGGCGAGGCAGCTCGCCTTCCCTCAGGAGCGCCGTCCGATCGTGCTCAATGGGGATCCACCTGGAAACGGATCGGCAGGACGCAATTAAGCCGACTGGGATGTCCCGTACCTGCCCCAAATTATACAAGGGGTGAAATTGCCGACATGGGGTGAGATGCCGGAAATTTGGGATCCCGGAAAATGGCGAGCGGAAGAAACCTGATTTTTCAGTCCCTTAATCACAATTTATACCCTAATATTAATTTATCGAAGATTTAAGTGGCGAAAATTGGGGTGAATTTTTAATCCGTTTCTTTTGTTGGAAAGGGGTAAACTGCGAATATGATTACAGGTACTGGGCCGTCACCAATATCGACTACATCCACCAGAGAACCGGAAGAAGAATCGGAGTGATGATAGCCGTGGTGTGGCTGGTCGCATTTCTGGTGTGTATCGCCCCCCTCCTGGGGTGGAAGGACCCCCACTGGGAAAGAAGAGTGATTCTAGAAAAGTCCTGCCGTGTCAGCCAGGACATCGGGTACCAGGTAAATCAAGAATCACCCCTGAGACCGCAGAAATACCGAAATCCCCCAAAAAGCCCCGAATTCCGAGGGTCAGTTCGACAATCACTTTCCACCCCTTTAAAGGCTCCCCAGGGTATCCGCTATTTAATCACTCGGCAAGGAGTGATAACGGAATTCAAAAATGTGATAACAATCCCGCGGGTGCGACATTGTTGGTTTGGTTCGATTGAGGTCGAGCCTCCCCCAAAACCCACCCCTGGGAGTGATCGACAAACCCGACTGCCCGAAAATCCCATAAAGCGATGAGACTCGACCAAACGCGTTATCACATTATCAGTGGGTCTTCGAATTAATTTTTCCACTGAGCGAGTCGGCAAATCGGGCCAACCACCCCCAAAATTAACCGACCCCCCGGACATGTCGTCGTGAAACCCGATTACCCGAAATTCGATAGGCCCGTTGAGACTCATCGAAATGCGTTATCACTTTATCAGCCGAAACCCAAGGGTTAATTTTTTCATAGAGAGAGAATTGCCGATTAATTCTCACACCCCCGAATTAAACCCCACCCCGTCCCGGGTCCCCGTTTATGTCATTAATTATGCGTTTCCACATCCTTGTCCGGGGAAATATTTACACAGCACGCCATCCCCTGCCTCGGTGCGCACACCCCTAGATTTACGCAATTACCCTCACAAACCCCGAAGCACCCCAGCTCCGTATGAAATTTCAATTTCAATTTCGCCACTCGAAAGTTACGTCGACCGAGGGAAGGGGTTGAAGTAGAATGGGAGCGAAAAAGTGGGACAGGGGAAAAGGGGGGTGGCAATTAGCAGGGGTAATTGATAGCACGTGGCATCCGGGTGTATCCCGATATGAATTGGCCCTAAATTATCATAATTGAGGGGTAATCGCCGACTAATAGCACCCCCACACCATAAATTAACTGTGGAGTTACCGTAAAAATTCCTGGATTTCCTTTTTCCTCCAATTTCCCCGTAACCACCCCTCCCCGATAAATCGAGGAGTAACACGAAGGGGTGGAAAATGCGGCGCGACCGGTGCATTATTTTTCCCTCCCCCCAGGAGCTTCTCAAAAATTTCCGAAAATGGCTCCTTCGAGACCCGCGATTTTTCCACCCCTTTTCCGGGGTTATCGCGGAAGGTCCCTCGTAATCCCGCGTAATCTGGCCGTAATCTGGCATAATCGGGCATAATCCACTGGCCAGCCTCGAAAGTCTCGACCAGGAGGTGGCTTAAGGGGGTGGCGTCGCTAAGGGATGTCGTGCTGACCACGCCCGGCATTTACATCCCCCGCGGTTGACTTACGACTTAATACCCTTATAAACAGGCGGGGATAATCGTGAATTATGAAGCCCCATAACTCGGCCCGAATTCTCCCGCGATAGCGATTTGTTACCACCGGAGGCTGCCCCGGAAAATCCATCCCCAGGGGTGGGCCTTATTATCAATTTCCAAGGGGAGACATTCTTTTATCAGACCGATCGGGGATCCTTTTCAGATATTCGCGACCGTGTCCTCCTTCTATCTGCCGCTCTTCGTCATCCTCGTCCTGTACTGGAGGATATTCCAGACAGCAAGGAAGCGCATCCGAAGGAGGGTTGGTCAGCCAGGGGGTGCGCCAGGTAAGGACTTACCTGGCCCTTCTTTTTTCCTCGTCAATTTCACCCCCTGCCACACGGTGTAAAGAACTTGGTCAACGGGGTGCCGGGGGGGTGACTACCCCTTGTAACTGCCCCTTGCAACTATCCCTTACTCAGGATCACGGAAACCTCCCCAAAGTGGCCGTCGGCCGTTTCCACCCCTAAAGCGGTCAAGTTGGGATTCATGGATCCGTCTTTCGACCTCCCTTGGGGGTAGTTTAGGCCCTGGCTGCTTCAACAGGTTACTTGTACCCCATGCTAGGGGTGGTTCGCAGGCAAATGACTCCGTAAAAAATTCAACCCGACCGCACTTTCCTCGTAACTTCCCTCGCCGGGGCACGAGAAGGGAGCACCGCGCGCATGTTTAATGCATTAATTAGGTTAAGAAAAAAAATATTTATTTATGCGTGCTTTCAGGAGCAACAAAGACCATGGGTTGCCCTAGGCCGATAGGAACCAGCCACGCTGTCGGCGGAGCTTTGGCGCAAGCCCAAGCTTCCGGCGGAATCGCCGCAGCGGTCGTCGCCGTCATCGGGAGGCCTTTACCTACGATTTCCGGTGAGCGGATTCGTATAAAGGAACAAAAAAAAATAGGAAACATTAAATGAAGATCTAAATAACGGTAGAAAAAATTCGGCAGCACCCTTTGTGCCCCCTGAAGCTCCCTAAAAAATGAAAACCGCTTGTCTTCGTGGATAAGTAGAAAATCCTCTCACCCTCAGACGGGAATTTTTCAGCGAAGGGCTACATTTGACAAGGATTTTAATCGCGATTATTCTCACTCGAGATGATAACTAAATCTCCATTAAACTCCAGACGATCGTTTCGGCCTCGAAATTCCCGGCTAAAGTTCCCGGAGTAACACGAGTTTCATGTCGTCCTCCGCATCTGCTCCTTGAATAAATCTTCCTCGACGTGGATATTCGAGTATTAAACATGGATCCCCGGGGAGAAGATTTATAATTGATAGAAAACAAAGGGGGCGGGTGAGAAAAGGGTGTCGCAAAATATCCCCCCCAAAAAAACTAGGGGAGTAAAAAAATAGAAAAAGAAAAGCAGGTTCTCCACTTTCGGGCCGCCGTTCTCCAGGGCGAGTGTTCCCCTAAAAAATAAGAAACCTCCGACCCGAAGGACCAGCTGTAGCGAATATCACCTGGCATCCAATTTTCCGGAATCCCCTCTTACACGGCGGGTTATATCTTATTATTTTTTTTCCTCCCCACCCCTTCCGAGCCCGTTCCAACCTTTCCCTCCATCCCCATTCTCGATCCCGGATAAGGACAAGTCGAGATAGGAATTTCCTGAAAATCCCGGGGATAAAACCAAATCCAGCTCCACTTATCCCTCCACGAATATGAGAGGAAATAATCGAAATGAAAATATTTTCATTGAAGGGAATTATTATCTATCTGCGTTGTGTTTTTTTATTATTTAAGCGATAAATCGATCAATGGGGACACCCTCCGACCGGGGTCGCAGGAGGGGTCGAAGTGGAATTAATCGGCGACGTCTCGATCAATGCTTCGATATCCCCCTACGTTCGATTAAAGCTTCGTCGCCCATTCAAGTCGGAGAACCGGAGGTGGCGAAATTATAATTAACGCGAATCCGCAGATCGAACTGGGTCCTGTCGAGAGGACCTCTTCGACCCGATGTGTACGTGTACACCCCTTCGCTAAATATACCGGAAATACATATGTAATGAATACACACACAGACATAGCTGTGCCCCCAGCCCCCGTCATTCCTTTGAACGACGCGCCCCGCATCGCGTTAATTAGATGAGGTGCACAACTTCGGCCAGGATGCGGAAATCCATCGATGAAGTACTTCCTAGAGGCTCTCAAACCGTCCGACCGGTCGATCCCTCCGAAATCCCAAAATCCAGGAATTTGTCCAGCCGCGGACGAAAGCCGTCCGATTCCTGGAAACCCGAAAATCGCCGATACCGACGCGATTTTCGTTTTCCCACGGCTCAAAGAACTTGACGCCATCATGAACAACCGCGAGACATACGAAAAATCATGATAAATGTTATTAAAAAAAATTGTTATCCTTATTTCTTCGGAGGATTTTTTTCTTTTTCTTCTAACTTCTGTACTTGGAATGTTTGAAGCGTTTATATAGGGCGGGTCTGAAAGGAGCAACGGAGTCTGATAAATGAGGCCTTCTCGGCATATCGGACGTGAAATGGAGTGCGGTTGACGCGTTTGACTGGCTCCTGGAGAACGCCGCCATCTTGCGCGACCCTTAGGTCCTAACGAGAGGGGCGCTTAATAAAGTTGGCGTCGTCGCCGAAACTCCGTTCAATTTCGCGGCCCGACTTTACTGCCATCGGCATTCGCGTCGAGCTCGCGAGTAATTAGGCCAAAACCGTGGGAAAACTCGGGAGAAGGACACGACGTCGGCGTCGGCGTCAGCCCAGAAGTGGCAGGGAAGAAATCTCCAAAAGAAGCCCCAGTAAATAAACTCCCCAAGTCCGGGTAAAAAAAATTCTATATACACGGATACAAAGCAACGAAACCTCCTAGAAGTCGTCCAAAGGACGTCGAAGCCCGATTCTTCAGGGTGGCGTCCATTTCGGCGAACCCGTCGTGGGGGGAGAATTTAAACGAGAGGCGAAGGCACGTCCCGGGACGTGACTCTAGTCGATTCCGACAAATTTCGAGTCCGGAGTCGGCGACTCTTCAGGGTGGTAGTCTCGTCGTCGCTCCACCCACCCCGAAGAAGAGACAACCGCTGACTGCAACTTCCGTCTGCAGCCGTGAAACGGAACCGCTCGTCCACCTCGGACGTTCATCATCGTCCCCTTAATCTTCATCGTCCTCTAAATTCCTCCGAATTTCCAGAGACGACGACGGCGTTCACCACGGTGAGCTCGACGAACACGTCTCCCGAGAAGACGTCCTACCACAACGGCCTGGACCCGGACCCGCCGACGTTGGAGGCGTCCCCAAGGCCCGCAGCATCCCGCAGGAAGAAGATCGCAGCCGACTCGAAGAGAGAGAGGAAGGCCGCGAAAACGTTGGCGATAATCACGGGGGCATTCGTGATCTGTTGGTTGCCCTTCTTCGTGGTGGCGGTTCTCCTTCCTGCCAGAGAGATCAACGAGTACGTGGTGGCCTTCTGCCAGTGGCTCGGGTAAAATTCTCAGCTTCCCCCTTGCTCCGATCTTGAGCCTCGAAGAGTACGGACACCCTGGTGTACCACTATTCCCAGGGCCGTTTCCCCTTCGAGGTCCTCCCAGGGCTCGTAAGTTCGAGACTCGTCCTCCATTCCCGTTTCCTGTCCAGGTACTTCAACTCCACCCTGAACCCGGCGATCTACACGGTCTTCTCCCCGGAGTTCCGGAACGCCTTCAAGAAGCTACTCTGCAGACGGCGAAGAAGCGTCGCCAGGAGGATGGGCGTCCGCCATTACATGTAGGGATGTGTGTACACGGAAGGATTAAGGGTATATCACGGAAGCATGTGGCCGATTGGTGTGTGTCCTGCATGCCGTAGTTGCCGGGTCCCTGGGGACCCCTCCGAGGACCCTCCTCCTCTTAACGCTCTCGTCCTCTTCTTTTTTTTTCTCTCTCTCTCTCTCCCGGGATCAAAAACCCAGTGCGCAAACTTCACGCAACGTCCTCGAGCTCTCCGTCGGCCACCGGGAAGTGCACAGGACCTCCGTGTGACGTCCTCCCACGGGGATGGGCGTCCTGCCAGGAGAGCCGAACGTCGTCCCCCAGTGAAACGCCTTTATTAATATTTTTTTAACGTTCACGTCGACGAAAGGACGACTCACTCTGGATATCCTGGACATCCTGCCAGGAGAGGCGGACGTCGTACGCCCATCAAACGCCTTTATTAATTTTTTTTTTTTAACGTTAACACCTACGCAAGGACGACTCATCTGGATACCGACAATTCACCGGCGAAGAGTCAGGAAGTCCTGATTTGATAAGCCTCGTGGAAAGGACGAGTCGATAACACCGCGGTTTAAAATCGACGTTTTTCTCCGTTTTACAAGCGAGCGAGAAAGAGGGAGGACATTTTCCCCTCCCTCTTCGGATTCCCTCTAAGAAGGCGGGCAAACGAAAAAATTCAAAACAACGCGCCTGGGCATCCCGGTTTTCCGGTTCCCTCTCAACTTCCGGGGATTAACGTTCCCCCAGGTCCCCTGGGCTCCGAGGAATCCCTAGGGTCCCTAAGAGCGCACTAATTAATGTCTTCACCCCCACAACGAGCAGTAATTCTTCCGTTTTGCATTTCCCCGGCGTCTTCCGGCCAAAGAATCGCGACTTCCCCCCCAAAGCAACACAAACCGGAAACGCGAGTTTCCCGTCCCATTTCCCGGACTTCCGGTCCCTCTCTCTCTCTCTCCTCTCTTTTTCCAACATTCGTCCCCCCCATCTTTCTCGGCCGCTCGAAAAGTCCCCATAACTCACGGGGAAATTTTCCGCCCTCCCCCGGGAGTCCCCAGGAATTAATCCCGAGGACATATCTCTTTTTTATATATTTTTTTTTTCATCCCCTTCGTTCGTTAATCGAGGCCAGGCCGAGTGATTCGTTCGCAAATATATCGAGGCCGACGTAAATTATCCCCCCCGAGATTTATTTTCCGGGTCTAGACAGGATTTCACGCCGCGGCTTTCTGTTTTTGACCCGACGAGCGAGAGGGGCGGGAGGGGAGGCGCGGGGAAAAATTCGAAAAAAAATGGGAAAAAACCCTAGGAAATATTATCCCGGGGAATATTCCCCTGCCCGATGGGGTTAAAAGGGGGTCCTTGGGGGCGGGGCTCGCCCCAGCGGAAATATGTGAAGGGGGAAAAAGAGCATCAGGGGAACACTCCGGGAAATTTCACGGATTTTTACGGTTTTCTTTTCTTTTCTTTTCCTTTTTTTACTTTCTTCTGGAACGCGAGAGAATTTAACAGGGGCCCTGGAGGTTCCTCGAGAAGGGGAGTTCCTCCCCCTCGGGGTAAATATATCGCATCGAGGTCACAATTTCCGGGGGGGAATAAATGCCCAGAGCGTCTGGCCACCAAAATGGCCGCCGGGGAGGAGCGCCGCCATCTTGGTTCCCGTTCTCCCGAAGAAAGGGCGTCTCGGGTAGTGCGAGGGGACGTTTAATATTAAAAGCGAGGTATTTCTTCCCCCTTCCAGAGGAAGGTGCTCCCAAAGCGACGGGTCTTATCATTACAAGGCTCGCGCCCTCCTCTTTTATCTTAATTCACTTATTTATTTAATTATTATCCGTTTCTTTCCAAAGGAGAGCCCGACACGACCAGTCCATAATTCCCACCTCCACCTCCCTCCTTTCCTCCCGTTATTTATTACATTCTTATCAGTTATCTACCGAAAGCGCTTCAGGATGGACCAAAGAGAAAAAGGAGGCGAAAAATCCCGACGCGAAGCGCCGGGTCGAACACCGACCAAGACTACTGAGTCGCGAAGAAATATATCAGAAAAAATCGGAAAACTTATAAATAATATCCTTGTATTGCAAGGAAGTTGTTCCGGTACGTTGGCAGCGATCGGTTAGTTAATACCGATTGATTAACTAATTAACTTCATCGGGGGTTGGAGTGAAGAAAGAAGGGGAGGACATTTCTCGGGTAGATTTCGGAGATTTAATCGACGATACTGGTCAAGGACCAAAGCGATTCCTGGGTCCGTCAAGAAGGACTCCATCTCCCGGGGGAGCGGAAAATCTTATTTTTTACTCACTCGAGGAAAAAAAAAAACGTCTCTAGTCCTATGTGCCTCTTCTCCATTGTTACGACTCGCGCGCGCGGCTCTTCTGTCCGCTCTGCCGGAATAAACGTGGAAGAGCCTCGGCCATGAAAGGAAAACGAAAGAGTGGGAAGCAGTTGTAAATAACGCGTGAGAACACTGTAAATATGTAGATATAAGAGGGGCGAATATATCGTGCACGAGAGAATGGCGGTAAAAAAAAATAAAAGAAAGAAGTAGAGGAAGAAATAAGAAACGAAAGACCAGCCGAGAGAACGCCCGCGTACTATTCGATGGCAATAAAGAGAATCGCGACTCTCTTTTCTAGACCTAGTTAGGACACGTTCGTGCATTTTGCACCCTGCAATTTTGCAGTTTTTAGACCCACAAACATGGCCCGTTTACTCTTACGACGTTTAATACCTTGAAAAGAAAAAAAAAAGAGAGAATATATACAACGCCTGACGATCAAGAGAGAGAGATTGATTGAGAGAGAGTGTCTGCGAATTTCGGTCCAATTAGAAAGATACCCCAAAAACGGGCCCGAAAATCATCGTCCCGAGATCCCCATCGACATCTAAACGAATATAAATCCACAAAAAAAAATGAGCGAAAAAATCCAAAACTCCGGAAGGGAAAAAAAAAATAAAATTCGAGAATACTATTCGAACGATCCCCTCGAGGCGGCGATTTTCTGCCAGATTAATAATTCCGCTAATTCGTAACGACAGTCGAGACTATCCAGAGGAGGTCCCTCGACTGACGTAGGAATTATTTCCGTTAATAATAAAAAAAAAATCAGGAACAAGCGGAAATGACATTGAAATGATTTTCCGGCGCGCCGGAGAAATTCGTCAGAGCTCGCTCGAAGTCTTTCCGAATTTGTTTTAACATTGTTTATAACGTGGGAGCCTCTGGCGCATTAAATTTAACGCCAATACCCGTAACGAGGTACAATGTGAATTATTGCCGCGGCCTGGCGGCGATATTTTCGAGAACCCCGAGAGTTAATATCGCGCCGACCACTCGCGGCCGTGAATTAATAATCGCGCTACTTCTAATAATGGGCAGGGCCGATAACGCGTCTCGCAACAGCGACCGCGAGAATATCCGGAAAAATCGGGCTGACTAATCCGAAATCCCGGATACCTTCCCAAAGCCGGAGGAATTCTCGAAAATCCCGCCGAACCATTGTTTCGACCCCCCGTTGATAATATAATTCGGCATTGCCGATTTTTGGCGGAGCCTTCAACCCCCTCCAACAAGGGAGGCAGGTCGATCTCTCCGATTTGATTTCTTTTATAACACGTTATAGTAGACTAAAAACTAAGCGACACGTATTTTTTTTTATCTGCCATTAAACACTTTAAGGGGGTGAAACCACCATCCAAAGTAAGGCACGTCAAGGGGCGATTTGGCAGTTTCACCCACGAGAACATAATATTTTTTTAACCAATCCACCTGGAAAAGCTTTCTCATAGCGAGAAATGAAAAATATAATTTTCTCAATTAAAAGAAAAAAGAAAATTAAGGGGTGAGCCACCCCTCACAGGCCTTACTTTGGATGGTGGCTTCACCCCCATAAAGTGTTTAATAAAAAAAAAACTAATAAAAAAAACATACGTGTCGCTTAGTTTTTAGTCCACTGTGACATATCACAAAAGAAATGAAATCGGAGAGAGATCGACCTGAAATACCTTCCTTGTGTCGGCTCCCCCGGAAATCTGGGCGTTCTCCAAAATCCGAATTTCAGGGCCCGAGTTGTTAATTATTAATCGTTAATCAACGCTAAGCGCGACGTTAGAATCTGTTTGAACTAACGGCGACGACGTTAAACCAACCTAACGATTAAAAAAACGGTTTACCGACCCATCAACATAACATTGTGACGTACAATCACACGAGTCGAGATATCGATTCGCAGGACCGACATAAAAAGAGAAAAGTGATAACAAGGGCGCGGGGAGGGGACCGAAAACTAATGAAAACCCCGAATGCCGAACGCTCTCGACATTAAGACCGGTAAGGACTTTATTACGCTTAATGGACTGCTTAAAAGGCAGCAAAGATCGTTGCATCAAGAGGACCGAATTTCTTGCACTTACAAAATACGTCCGAGCATCCGGGTAAGATAGTTTTACAAAAAGGAAGAAAAAGGGAACACACCGAAAACCACCCCCTCGAGTTTCTCCATCTTCAATTCCGATCGGCGAGCAATAAATGCTCTCGATAAAATTGATCTTCGCAATAATTAACGTAAAGCTATTTCACGTGGATACTAGGCAACATTTTGGGGAAAAAAAAAAGAAAAAGAAGAAATCTAAGGCTCAAAAGTGCGTAAAAAGAGGTCCGAGCATCTAACGAGAGATGTTCGAGGAATTTCGAAAAAGAGAAATTCCAAATTCGCAGATTTCAATCGGCTGCTTTGACAGGAATTTTTTCAAGTGATACAAAGAATTGAAATTTCGGGGATTAACGGGAGACCCTTAACAGGAAGGGAATGTTTTTTTTTTTTCCTTTTTCTTTTTTTTCCCCCCCGAAAAGTCCTCCCGGATGCTCGGATTCTCTAGGGTCCCTCAGAGGGTCGAAATTTCTATACATCTGTGTGTGTCATATTAAACACGATAATTATGTATGATACGAGATATTACTATATGTGACTGTATACCGTGTGTGTGTTTATATGTAAATAAATTAAGGGTCCAGTCCTCCTCGCGATGGCTGAACATTATCGGGGTCGAGTTTAACGACGACCGCTAGATAAATAAATGATTAACTGAATAAACGAGTAAATAAATAAATACGAGTAGCTAGGCAGGGATTTCGGATTTCGTTCGAGACTCATTCGACTGGTTTCAGAACGATCGGAATTTTAGGATTAACGATAATAAAACTAACGCGACTTTTAACCGAGAGGATCATAGGCTAAGTCGAGGAGGCGATTAAAGGCTGAGCAAAAGGTTGTAAAAAAAAAAGAAGAAAAAATAGAAAAGAAAGGACGAAGAAGAGGAACCGAGACAGATTCACGATATCCGTAAATATTTCCGACACTTTCGTATATTTCCCTTAAGTTTTTCTACCTAGAAAAATCATGTGTGAGAAAGATCTTAGTAGATTTCTTATCGAATTAATTTCACACAATGAAGGTTGTAGGTCGAGTGCGACCTCGATCCGTGATACGAAAATATATAATCGACCGAGCGAACGACCATAAGTTAATTGTTAACCATTAAACGAAACTAGTGCTTAGGGTGTAACTAGTTGATTAAAAGAAGAAAAAAAAAAAGGGAGAACTTACTAGACATAATTCACAGACTCTGCCGAGAATGACGTCACTCCCAGTTTGGTTACAGATTACGAGGGATTCTCAGCGTTTCTTGTCAAGGGAAAAAAAAAAGAAAGAAAGAAGTCCGAAATAAACAGTCAATACGCGGAATCGAGGCGACGACAGTCGTTAAACGATTTTCGATTAACGTATCCCCCGGATTTGATGTCAACTCCGTGTAACGGCAGGCCTCGAAAAGCGAAAGATCCCCATGGGAGAAGAAATAAAATCGAAGACACTATCACTACAATCACCCAGAGTTTCACTTCCCCCCTAGACATGCATGCACGATTTTCTTATCAGGCGGCGAAGAGGACTATTTTTTATTTCAAAAACCAGCGTAATTAAAAAGGAAACCGCTAAAAGAAAAAAAGAAAAATAAAATCCCATAAAACGAGAGCCTTCCCCGGTCTCATTTTCCCCCCGAGGGAAAATGCAACTAGAAAATGCCCTTTTATGCTCGCGACCCCCCGACGTACCTCGCTCACGTCGGGGAATATAAGACGTGGCATCGTCTCACTATTCAAACCGTGCATCGGCGTCGTAAAAAGTGCAATATTCGCCGGGAGGAAGGGAGGAGGAAAGAAGCGCAATATTCCGCGATTTTCGCCACGCCCGAGGTCGCGATCCAGGCTCGGGAGATCAGCAAGAAAACGCGATGCAAGAAAGGAAATTGGAGGAAATAAAAAAAATAGATGGAAAAAAAAATAGTTAAGGATCAACAATCGCCTAAATAAATCCCAATGATTCCCTGCAATTTTAATTAGAGGCGACCCCGCTGCGATTTCGCATCTCGCGAAGTGCGGCTCGTCGCAATCGGTGACGCATCTCGCTGCATTGCACCGCCACCGCGGATGGAGGCAGGTATTTTTAATTAATTTCGACACCCGAGGAGGGGAGCTAATTAACGATGAAGCCCGCAAGGTGCGCCCATTGCAACGACCGGAGGCCGTGGATGCACCGAAACGCATCTCCCCGCAAAATGCGCTTCCCTCGTCCAGGTAGTTTCTCTCCTCGCGATGTCGAATAATCAGACATTTCGTATTCGAGGGTCATGCCCGGAGGTAAAACCGCGGGGTTCGCATTAGCTGCAGTAATTACGGGACCGAATTAACGTAACTAGTCGCCAGGGAGTGATTGCCCGTTCCTCTGTAGTATTTAACATTTCTAATCTTCTCGATGGCAATCCACCTTTGTCATAAAAATGGGCATAGTTCTTCGGAAAACCCTGGACATCGTGTCGTAGCAATACCACGTAACGTCAGGTGGATAAATAATTTCTTAAGATTACGCTTCGATTATTCCGCCCCATCCTCCTGGGATTTACATTTGGAAACTGTTCCTCGGAACGTCGTTTAACACTCTCTCCTACTGTACGCATGTAAAACGCACCGATCTTACTAAATAAAGGTCCCTCCGAGATTGATGAATTCGCTTTATTGCTTACAAAATTATCGCCACTCCAGGTCAACTCCCTCCGCAACGGTCCAACAAGTTTGAGGGTGTATACTCGTCGCGGCCGGGCCATCCGAAAACCAGTAACCAACCCGAGTTAGTCATTAAGGAAGAGAGGCTGTTAATCGACGACATTTAATGACTGTAGCTAATCATTAATAATAGAATAATTATAATAGACTTTTACTTAGGTGAAAGTTCCTCCCGCACAGGGCTAAGTGAGTTTTTTCGCTTTCTGATAGAGGGTGTCGACGACCTTGCCCATGCTGTGTATCGTGTCCAGAGCTATCTCGTAGGTTTTATCTCGGGGAGTGTCTTCGAAGACTATTAAAACACCTTCTCCCTGATCGAGGACTCCCCGCAGCTTCTTGTCCAGAATCATCTGTGACAGTTTCTTCTCGACCTGAGCTATCGGCAGTGATATACTTGACGCTATATGTCCTACCTGGATAAACGAGCAAGTCTTAATACCGAACAACTCCACTGGAATGATTAAAATTCCAAAATTGCTTCGGAACTACTCACTTGTACGCGCGAATATGGTTCAACAAGGCGACAGAGATTTTGCTCCAGCATGGCGTCGTAAAGAGAGCCAAGGTGAGCCCTCACGATGACATCCTCCTCCAGTTCCTGTCGGAACTGCTTGACCGCCTTTTGAAAGTCAGCTAGAGATCGTCGATGACTGGCTTCTGCCACTGCACGCATGGCATCCAAGTCACGACCTGCATACTTCACTGCCAATTTTCCAGACAAGATAGATTGTACATCTTCGGGAGTGCGCAGCATGATTTTCGACAAGAGCATGTACTTGAGTGCAGTCAGTGCCTTTGGACTCTCCACACTGTCGTAACTGAGACAGGAAACATTATTCGAGTAAAATCCACCATTGGAGAATAAGCGTTAATTTTATGTGTACAAAAATACCCTTCGAAAGCTTCATAGAAGTAGGAATAGGCAGTCTTGAAGTCTCGTTCGTCGGCGGCATGCAGCACGCCAGATTGCAGGTCGAGGGCTGCCTGCATTTTAGGTGGACTATAAATGGCATTAGCAGTCGTCCTAGCACTCGTGAGCGCAGCCCTAGCCTTTGCCAGATTACTCAGCGCATGATAAGTCTTGCTCTCCAAAAGCTGCACCTCGACGAGCAACTGCTTATCGTCGAGCTTCTTTAGCTCTTTCAAAAGCGCCGAGCCAAGCTGCAAGGCCTCGCTGAACATGCCGGTGTCGAAGTACAGAGCTATCAGCCTGGCCTCCAGCGACTGCCTCAAGAACGTTCTGCGCTCCTCCTTGGCCCATTCTATACATTCTTTACAAAGTTGCACCTAACCAAAATGCAAGCCTCCATTATTCCCCACATCCAACATAACCAACAAAACTTGATAGAAATCCCTGACTCATCCATGTTTACACCTGCTCTTAAGAAATCCTAAGTGACACGGATTTCTATTTTTGGACTCTTTGTGCAAAAACGTTTCCAGAATTTTCTACAAAAAGTACCACTACAATCGTTGTGAAATCAAGCAAAATCTACCAAAACCGAAGGAGACTAACGTAAGCCCTTTAAAGTATCGACAAGAATCGTTCCAAAGGAGGGTGATCTCACCTCGATGCCGATGCCAGCCTCGAGGTCCAAAAAGAAGTCTACGAGGGAGCGAACCAGCTTCGCAGCCTTTGCCTTACTGATAAGACCCAGGAAGGGCCTGGTGGCCTTAATCAGATCCGCAAGCTCCTTAGCTTTACCCTCCTTTTTGTAGAGCTCGCCGAGGTGGAGGATGCCCTGCTCTTTGACGCGAATGCTATCCTCGTCATCCTCGGCGATACCGATGCTCGGATCCGAGACGATCTCGTTGAGGAGGTTAATCCCCTCGGTGCGGTTCGTCACGGACACCGCCTGGGCCCGCTCGAACAACATCGCGCCGGCCATTGCGCGATTTCTCTCCGCTCTCACCAGGTTTCCGTTCTCGTTATCGCCCGCGTCTCCTGGGCGCGGCGACGTGCAGGTTACCACAAAAATAAACCGCGATTCACTGGGTCAACGTGAACACGAGCTCCTTTATGCGTTCACACGCGTTAGTTGTTTCAGCATTTTCCGCTCTCTGCCCACTCTTTCGTGGAACACAAAACTCGTATCATGCTGCGACTACGCTAGTCGAGCGAACGTCCAGCACGAACAGGCACGAACATGAAATACGGGTAGAAAGGCGATTCGACTAGACTTGTCGCCCTCGAAGCGCGGAGGCTTCCTATTGGCTGACGGCGGACCAATCACAGCGCGCGACGTCCCCGTTTCTCCTCCGCTCCTCCTAAAGATATTACCAGAGATGAGTTGGGAGCAGATTATGGCAATCTCCCAACTCATCTCTGATATTAGCAGAGTGTATATTAAAACACACCGGACTTGGCACTGTATCCAGTGTTGCCAGAAAAGAGGGGGAAAATCCCGCGTGCAGAATTTTCCCCTCTATTCCCGATATTCCACTATGACGTCACCAGCTTCCTCTTCCCTCATTGCCAAACCCCCTTGCCGCACTTGCGGCCGTTAGTGTCCGAGAGGGGTAGTGGAAGGGGAAATATCCCTCGCGTGGGATTTTTTCCCCTCTATCGTGGGATTTCTGGCAACACTGACTGTAGCCGGTGTAACGGCTAACCTGCAAGCACGAGATCGAGCGAGACCTTGGGAACGACCTCTGGTTTCGCATTACGTTTCCATCGTCCGTCATTGACCTTTTCGTCCCGACAAGGAGCCGGAGTTTTTAGTGGTGTTCGAGGAGGCTCCTCCGCGAAGGTGGAAATATCTCGTCGGGCCCTGAAGAGAAGAGAACGCTCCCAAGGAATCAGTTCTCACTTACACCTCTTCTGAGGGAAACAAGAGATGTTGCGGACTACTGCGAGCCTGCGTAACGACTTGGCGCGTGTCACGCTGAGAAACACTCCGCGATTAAATGCCGCCAGATGCCTAACCACGCGATGTCTTCACAGAAAACACCTTCAAAGGTATTGTCCCATGAAGGAATGCTAACTCCAGAAGCTTGTCAGAGGTATCACGTGTTGAAACACGTACTCTGTAATCGAAAGAACCACCTCGTGCAAGGTTAACTTCACTTCGTTAACCATTAACTACACTGGGCCGAAGTTCTTTGCAGCAACGTCTCCATGCAGTCATCGACTATGACTTCTACCGATGTTTCAAAGTAGCGTCAATAATGGGAGGTCTAATAATCTTGAAGGTGTTTTAATTATTAGTAGCTAGAATTTGTTTTCTACGGAAATTCTGTATCGTTCAGTCTGAAGAGGTCTGCGGTGACGGTCAGATTTTATTTAAGTAATTTAGCCTTGACTTTGCGGTTAAATGGTGATGTTTAGGGGTTGTCGGGTGTAGAGCTTATGTATAAGTTGGTAGCACAGTTCTTCGGAGGTCCTGTTATCGATTGACAGGTGGTTCGTAACTTTTTTTTATAAGACTTCAGGTCCGGGATCCCCGTCATTCCACGGTAACCCCATGGACCCAGCAACTAAGGTTCTATGCAGATTACCCAAGCCATGTGAAAGTGAATCTTCCTGCGTTATCACCTACAATGGAAGTGGGGACTATCGTGACTTGGCAGAAGAAGGAAGGTGAATTATGTCGGTAGAGTTTGGAGCTTGTAGAATGTTCTAAGTGTATGTTGCATTTCACCAGGTGACCAATTGAACGAGGGAGATCTACTAGCCGAAATCGAAACCGACAAAGCCACTATGGCTTTTGAGACCCCCGAAGAGGGATACCTAGCAAAAATACTCGTACCTGCAGGGACTAAAAACGTTCCCATAGGCAAATTAGTCTGTATTATCGTGCCCGATAAGAACAGCGTAGATGCTTTTAAGGACTATAAAGATGATGGTGTTGCATCGGCATCTCCTGCACCGCCAGCCCCAGCTGCACCTGCACCAGCCCCACCTACACCAGCTCCATCTACACCAGCTCCACCTGCTCCACCTGCTCCACCTGTAGCTGCTGCGCCACCAAAACCTGCTACGGCACCTCCACCTGCGGTTTCTAAAACAGGGGACAGAGTTTATGCTAGTCCACTGGCAAAAAGATTAGCTGCAGAAAAAGGCCTCAATTTAGAGGTAACGAGATTCCCTTATCACTGAGTGATATATCTTATTGCTTTAAGTTGCTGATCGGTATAATAAGCTGAATTTCGTTATTGAAAGGGTTTGAAAGGTTCGGGGTTGTTCTCCTCGATCACGACGAAGGACTTGGAGGGTGCTCCAGCTGCTGCAGGTGTTGCAGCCGTTTCTGCTGCATCTCCAGCTTCCGTAGCTGCTGGGTCAGATATTCCGGTCTCCAACATAAGAGCGGTCATTGCCAAACGACTACAAGAAAGCAAATCGACGATTCCTCATTACTACCTTACAGTCGACGTGCAGATGGACGCCGCTCTCAGTATGCGAGAGCAGTTCAATAAGTTACTGGAGAAGGAGAAGTTGAAGTTGAGTGTAAACGACATCATCATCAAGGGCATTGCGATGGCGTCCAAAAAGGTGCCCGAAGGGAATTCCGCCTGGCTTGGGGATGTCATCAGACAGTAAGATGTTCTACTTCCATTTCAACTCTATGCTCCGGTGGAACAATGGAAGGTCTAACAGAATCCATTGACTTTCAGATACAATCACGTAGACGTTAGCGTAGCTGTAAGTACAGATAGTGGCTTGATAACGCCGATAGTCTTTGCGGCCGACACAAAGGGTATTGCCCAAATCAGCAAAGAAGTGAAGGCCCTGGCTGTAAAGGCGAGGGAGGGTAAGCTACAACCCCATGAGTTCCAAGGGGGCACCATCACCGTGTCCAACCTGGGGATGTTCGGGATAAAGAACTTCTCCGCCATCATAAACCCACCACAGTCGATAATTCTTGCGGTGGGAAACACAGAAAAGAGATTGATCCCTGCAGACAACGAGAAAGGGTCTGTATCAGATTACGGTGGTTATTCAAATGTTCCGTATGGAACCTTCTATTACAATTTGAAATTAATTTGACTAACCAAGCCAAGAGTGATAACGAAATTACTATGTTGACGCAGGTTCACCACTGCACAATACATGTCTGTAACGGCAAGTTGTGATCATCGCACTGTTGATGGAGCGGTGGGTGCTCTTTGGCTGGCGGCGTTCAAGAACTTAATGGAGAACCCAACAACGATGCTCTTGTAGAAAAGTCTTACGACAGATCAGAAGGGTTGATTTCGAAAATGTCGGGGAACGATGCAGATCAGTGTACGTTGTCGTTAAGAATACATCTTCCATTACGCCTCCACAATTTGTTAATATCTCCATCAGCAGGAGTTGCGTCATGATGTCTGAGGCTACCTCTTAACAGAAAAAACATGTCTGTGTCAGAGTGGATTTCATAGTTAATTGCATTCTAGTATACAACTCATCGGTGGATGATAAACTTTGCGAACCGATACGTAAGTCGATGTGAAGAGTGTCTATAGATAACAGTAGGCATTAACGTTGCAGAGTGATGCGTGCTGGTCATACATCGAGCCTAGGTGACGACAGGCGTAGAAATCGCTGAAATGTGCATGCCGATTGCGAACCACGTCTGGATAGGCAAGCTCGATCGTAATGTCCGTTTTGCGACTGCCTTCGAGTATTCAAAGGATTGTACAGTTGTTTCATATTAACTTTATCCAAGGCTAGGCTTACATCCTTACAGTACAAATCGAGTCGTGCTATTTTCCTTGGATATGCGAATGTATTTATATCGCGACTACTCCGGTTACGGTTACCTATGGTAATCGCTTGTACATATGCTAATTTAACCTGTTATGGAGGAACCTGTAATAAAATTAGAAATTCTTCCCTGCAAGGGAAATCGTGGAAAGATATATAATGTGTATAGTACCGATAGGCGAGTTATGTGTGTGTACAACGAGCGATTTATTTAATAAATTATGCCGTGAGGATAATTGTACTGGCTGGCTGTTCGCAATGTTACTTTCAAGCTACCGGATGTGACGACAGAGGCGGCTATTAGAAAACTTGTAGGGAATTTTAGTGGTCTCCTGGCGCTGCTGTGGAAAATAGGGAAAATTTTTCAGAGTTGGTAACATTGATTTTCAAAACAAACTTTGGCTTATACTTGACGAGCTTTGCTACGAGTGAGACAATTAATTAACGAAAATGCCGATCTTAGACAAACGGAAAGGCGACGATATTCTTTCTCTGGTACCGGCGTCTAAGAGGACGAAAAATGAAGTGGTTTTCAGCAGCAGAGAAAAAGCGGTCGTTCAAAGTGTAAGTCTAACCTTGCTTACCCTAACCTCGAATAGTTGTTAAAAAAGAAATTTTACGTAAAAATCGTTAATGAAATATTTTCTAAGTTTTATATTATTGGTTGAAGGGTCCTCCTAGAACGTCTTCACTAATGGCACCGATTATGTTACTTGAAGGACATCAAGGAGATATTTTCTCCGTCGAATTCCATCCCGAAGGACAGTATCTTGCTTCTACTGGGTTCGATCGGCAAATATGTAAGTTTTGATATATTGACTGTCAAAAAAGAGTGTTGCCCTCTTTTTTAAAATTAGAAGAAAGATGGAGCGATAGTAATGGATATCTTTCAGTTATCTGGAACATTTATGGCGAGTGCGAAAATGTCTCTGCCATGTCGGGTCATAGTGGCGCCGTAATGGAACTTCACTTTAGCCCCGATGGCAGTCATCTATACACCGCAAGTACGGATACCACATTAGGTCTCTGGGATTTTGCTGCAGGCACCAGGGTAAAGAAACTGAAAGGCCATACTTCGTTCGTAAACTCGGTATCCGGTGCTCGAAGAGGGCCTACGCAACTCTGCTCTGGTAGTGACGACAGTACTATCAGAGTTTGGGATCCTAGAAAAAGAGGACACTGCTACACTTTAAATAATACTTATCAGGTTAGTCATTGATACACGTTGACGCATGAAAATAAGATAAAATGCAACTTGTTTAATGCCAATATTCAATTCAATCGAACAGGTGACTGCAGTTTCTTTCAATGACACTGCGGAACAAGTAATCAGTGGCGGTATAGACAATGACGTCAAAGTTTGGGACTTAAGGAAGAATGCGGTTCTGTATAAACTCAAGGGTCACACCGATACCGTAACTGGTTTGAGTCTCAGCCCGGATGGTTCTTACATTCTATCCAACGCAATGGACAATACTCTGAGAATTTGGGACGTCAGGCCTTTCGCACCTTATGAAAGATGCGTGAAGATACTCTCTGGTCATCAGCATAATTTTGAGAAGGTTCGTAACGACATCAATTATAAAATTTAATCTAGCGTACTAGTTATAATCTATTCGTTTGTATTCTAGAATCTTTTGAGATGCGCCTGGTCTCCGGATGGAAGCAAAGTGTCCGCAGGCTCTTCGGATCGGTTCCATTATGTCTGGGACACGACAACTCGCAGGATACTGTATAAACTGCCAGGACACAACGGTTCAGTAAACGACGTCGACTTCCACCCGAAAGAGCCTATCGGTAAACAGAACCAATCTCCAGAAATTACCCATACACAGTTCTCTAATTTTTAAACAGGAAGAATACTTAAAAATTTTATTTCTTTCTTCAGTCTGTTCCGGGTCGAGCGACAAGCAGATATACATGGGAGAGATCGAGTAGCCCCTAATTTAAGAGCGAGTTATAAATTAATGACCAAATAAATTTAAGAGCAATTCTTGTATAATCCGTCGACTACCTGCACTTAAACACCGTGAAATTAATTTGAATTAGCATTTTTTAAAAATTAATATCAGCTGCGAAATCCACTTCACGCGTTGGATGTGTCATTCGCGCGTGCTCTCGCGCGATTATACAAGAGTTTTGCCCCACGGGAAAGTCACGTCTCGTGTGGCAGATCGGTAAGTCCCTGGAGGGGATCACCAAGTATGGAAGATGTGGATACTCAGTCGAAGCCTAGTCTCTCTGACCCACTGACATTCTCTTCTGGCCTGCTCGCCGCTTCTGTAGAAAAATCGAGGCATTGCTTCAAAGTTCACGGAGAGAGACAGTTCTTACTTTCCTCACGGGAGCATCGACCAGAACCGCGAGAGGAACCCACCGGGATCGGTTTATAATAGATTAAGAAATTCATGTAATAATTCTTTTCGCAAATCCTAGTCGCCATGCGTCGAGGTCGCGGCCTTTTGTCGGGAATACTCGTCTGTGCCACGGTAATGTACTTCTTTTTCGGTGCAAGATCAATTACCGAGTCCCAGGACTCTAATCGGGAGGACGAAGAATTTGTGGCACCCGACAGAGACAAGTCATTCCTATCGAAAAGTGGATTTCGCGAAGTGCAAGTGAGTTCTCAATGTTCCTACATGAAGGACGCGGCGAAAGGTAGAATTAAAAAACGTGACAATGGTCACGAAGGACTTCTGTTTTAAATCCTTGCGGAAGTCCCGTTAGCGGTGAAGGCGCTTTCCCACAACGCATAAACATATATATACCCAATTTAATATTTGTTTTTATAAATGTTTTTCATAAGAAGTCATTATATATATATGAAGATAATTGTCATTAATTATATCCTCGCATTCTTCTATTTGCAATTGAAAGTACGTGATATTTTTTTTTCTCGTTTTTTCTCGTGTAATAAAACAAGCGAAGGATACGAATTTAATATACATATCCTTTTCAATAAGTGAGAATTCTTTATGAAGGCTGATCTCGATTTAGACGCAGCGTCACGTTACTCCGTCACTAAGCGAGCCGGGTGGCCGAGCAAACTTGTTTGACAGGAGCGACCACGTGCTCATGTTGACAAGAGTGCCAGGAGCTGGCGGAGAGGTCCTGGTGCTGATCCTTCAGCGTCTCCAGGGACATAACGCGTTCAAGCACATCCGACTTCCTCCAGGAGACGAGGGACTCCTCTCGACGCTTCAACAGGTACCCGAAGGAGCTCGTTACACTTCTTGCACAATAATCGGTAATGGAGAACGTTGCGACATGTCTTCGTGGCTGACTTACACCGGAGTACCTTGGTCGCATTATTTATATTTCTTTCCTTTTTCCAAAAAACCGGTCCAACCGCGCTCGTAACGCCACGATTAACGCCACGTTCTGATAATGGGAGCGCGGATATGAGAGATAAGAGGAACTCGTTCTTTGCAGGAACTTCTCGTGGAGGAAATTACCAGCATCGTCAGGCAGGAAGCCATTCCTTTGACTTTCGACGGGGATCTCAGGTTCCTCAATTTCACCGCGTTTGGGAGACAGTCGCCGACCTTCCTTTCCCTGGTCAGGGACCCTTTGGATCCGAAGGTCTTCGCTAAGTAAGCCTAATTATACATTACTGAGGTATAAATATCAATTCTATATGATATATAAATATCAATGCTATTCTACCGTCGTTTGGCGTAAAGACCGTAGGGTAGACTATGTGGGTAATTGGTGCGGAACGCAACCATGCTACGGGGACTCTTTACGCAGGACTACGTAGTTTAACGTCCTTCTCTAATTCTTGACAAATTGTCCCCGTTCTTCCAGGTATCGCAGGAAGGATCTGACGATACCGTATTCAGGATCCATCTCCCATTTCTGTGGCCAGGACACTCGATGCACGTTAGTATGATTTCCCTTGATATAGGGAGGACTTTACTTTCCTCGTTTCTCGTAATAGCGATGTATAACATTTTCTCGTTACATCAAATGATTTGGAATGTTTAGAGTGAAGATACGCAGCGATCGGCCGAGGTCCATGAACTTGTTAGAGACTTTTAAGCTCCTTCCAGTATTTCTTGGATAGCTGGTATTACCTGTTAACTGGTACCATGTCGAAAAGAAACGCGGTTGCCCTCGATTCGAAGGAGTCGTCGGCGTTGTGCAACGCGGACCATCTCTCGTTAGAAAGTGCGTACGCAATACGCACTTCTGCATACATTCGCGAAAGTACGTAAGCACGGTGAATGACATGACTTTCATCGTCGTACTCGCTTGTGTCCGGCTCTATTGAGAAAGTCATACCGTGTAGTCGTGAGAGTGCATTGTACGTTCCATCGCTGTTGCGTTGCATAATGCTCTGCATATACGGATTTAAGGCCGGCGCATTCTTCCTCTCATGTTTTGCAGCTTGCGAAACGCTCGCTCGTCGTACCTTTTGCTTTTAAGCGGTTATTGTTTATATGTTATTATTGTATATATGCGTTCCTTTTATTTATTCTAGCCGTAGAAACAGTAGATGGGCGCTGGAAAGAGCCAAGGACAACGTGTCCAGGTGGTACCCCGTGGTCGGTCTTCTGGACCACATGGACGTCACCCTTAAGGCGCTCGAAAATACATTTCCATACTTCTTCGGCGGTGCTTCCGAGGTGTACAAGCGAATCCGTAAGGCCTAGTCGATACTTTATACCAAGTCCGGGTTTTTATACCGGAATGCCAGAAGCCACGTCAATGGCGGAGGCGAAAAACCTTGGCCCGAGCACGTGGTTGAATAATTAAACGTCCTTAACGCAGGCCTCGCTTAGTTTACTTTGCATTTCTGGAAGAGCAGGTTCCGGATGGACCTGTTAGAGGCTAACGTTTCGGATCCTTAATTCTAATTCCGCGTTATTTTCCAGAACCGACGAAGATCGGCGCTAACGATCGGCACGCTTCGATGAAGGTGACGGCGAAAAAGCGCCTCAGGGAGATTCTCGCTAAGGAAGTGGAATTCTACCAGTGGCTAAAGTCTCGGCTCTTCAATAAGACCGGCTTTGGAGTCGGATGAAAAATAATTCCTGGTCCACTCTAGGAATTATTCGGAAGAAGTCCGAAAGGCGCTTTATGGGGAGTCGTAGGGACCAGCTCCAAGAGTCATGGCAAGGTGTGGTCCCGTAGAATCCAGGATTCTTGTGGAATCGCTGATGCTAAGGCCAGATATAGAAACTAGGAACTAATCGCTGATGATTTCATCGGTCAGTTGTTCACGGAGATCTGCGTTTCTCAACCGGGATTGGATTTTGGAGTTGGACGAAGAAGCTTCTTCCACTCCAGGAATTATTTGGAAGGTCGAAAGGCACTTTATGGGGAGTCGTAGGGACCAGCTCCAAGAGTCATGGCTGATGCTAAGGCCAGATATAGAAACTAGGAACTAACCGCTGATGATTTCATCGGTCAGTTGTTCACGGAGATCCGCGTATCTCAACCAGGATCGGATTCGTGGCTATTGATGATAGATGACACGGTCGACCCTGCCTGGCTGGATCTGCATATCTTGACTCGTCAATTATCGATTGGCTGCGTACCTGTAATTGATGGTTAACGTTTCAGCATGCCGTTATATAGCTCCGCGAATCAAACGTTACCAGGCTGTAATTATTCAGTCGATATGTAAAGGAAGCGAAGCTAATTGATAGGAGATTCCGAACCCTGCGGTCGGAAAGGCGAAAAAGTGCCCGGCCCTTTACTTACCTTAAGGGAGGACTATTCAGGGGGAACATCCTCGAAAGGGATGGACAGCGCGCGGGAAGCTTTCGAAACTAGTCCACGTTGGTTCCTTGACAGTTTATAAAATAAATACAGAACGTTACAAAGAAATGGCCGAGTTACTTTAAAACTCGGCCGAGAGTATCACTCCGTCACACCGCCTTACATCTCTTTCAGAGAGACACCCACGCCGTCGTGCATTGCTCCTAAGATATCGCATTTATGTACACCGACAGAAGCTCCAAGATGATTTTGTAACCCGCCCACGGCGTCAACCAGTCTCGATGGCACAATGGTCCATGCGCGAGCCCTGTCCGTTTCTTTCCTTTCTTTTAGTTTTTTAATAAATCCTTTCCTTTAATTACAAGTCAGCGACGAGTTAGGGAGAATCGAGGAACATGTTCGTTCGGTTGATCCGTGAAGAGCGGGTACAGCAGGAGAGCAAAATCATGTTGATGTACAAATGAACGAGCAGCAACACCAGGAAGGCGTGCCATCACTTCTTCTTAGCATCCTTCAGACCGGCGCCGGCGTTAAACTTGAAGAAGATTATGTCGCCGTCCTCGACCACATAATTGCGCCCCTGTTGCCTGTACTTGCCGGCCGCCTGGAAGAAATTAAAAGGGAGATACTATCCGGGAAATTCACGAGGCTAGAGCCGGCGTTATAAAATCTAATAACTTAACTGTAAAATAATTGGCTGGAAATGGGGAGGAAGGGAAAAAGTTTAGAGCCGCGAGGACGGTGCGCCGGAGGAACGGGGTGCAAGAAAAGAGTCCGGATGTGGGTCCAGTTTGCGAGACAATGGAGGAGGATGATGGCCGAGGTCGTTTCTACGCGTATTAATAGAACAGCCTACTGCACCTTCACGGCACCTTCGGAGCCTTCGCTCTTGAAGTCGTCGAACTTCATGACTTCCGCCATGATGAAACCCTTCTCGAAGTCCGTGTGGATCTTGCCAGCAGCCTGAGGAGCCTTCGTCCCTTTCTAGACCGGGGCAAAAGGAGATATTAAAAAAGGAAGCTAATCCAATGTAAGAAATTTTTATTCCATACCTGGATGGTCCAAGCTTTGACTTCGTCATGGCCGGCGGTAAAGAAGTACTGCAGCTGAAGAGCTCTGTACCCCTGGACGATGATCTTGTCGAGGGCACTGGAAGAATCACGGGAAGACATTAACTAGAAAGGTTAAATAACGCAAAATGCCGTCTCCCCGGGAACGGGGTGGCGAAAGGGACTCTCGAGGCCCTCAATTAGAATTGTCAATTACTTCTCCATAGGACATTTAGGCGAGTTAGGACCGCGAAAATGGGGAGATCTCGAGATAGGAATTCCCTTGGACGTTCCGGAATAATCCTAATCGAGCCGGGCACCCGGCAATCAGAGGACTGCCGTGATTTTATTTCGAGACCGCAGATCGCCGGACTTAAAGTAGGGCCTCGGACAGAATGATAAAATTGCAGTATTAAGTCGTTCGCTTTATGTGTATTCCATGAAGTCCCGATGTCTGACCGTCCGGATGGCTCCTTGACCGTACCCTGTCATTAGAAAAGATCTTTGGTCCCGGGACAATCATATTCCACGATCCTGTGGTCCCAGCGGATATTCCGCCGCGGCGAATCCGCAGCTTCGCCGATACTCCCCCGGAGTTCTCCGCAAACCCCGTTCCCGTTTTCGGCTCGTTAAAGTCCCCACGATTTCGAGGAACCTCGAGACAGGGCTACCTCGGAGGAGGTCGCCCTCCATTTCTGGGCATCCCGGGGAATTTTCGACGCAGGTCCTCTCCTGGAACGTCCCCCGGGTGCAGAGGGCTTAGCCAGCTGCACATTTATTACCTATAATCTGCATGTTTAGACGCTCCTTTGCGCGACTTCCCCGCCGATTTGAATAGCTCGTGCAATCCGCCGGGAACGTTTATTAAAATCCACCACCGAGTCCGCCAGGGTCCGGGACAGAAGCCATTAAAGGTTTTACGACTTTTTCGGGAAATCCGAAAACCGGACCCAACTGCTCATTTTCTCTAGGGCCTCCACGGGTGCTCCTCGATCGTCCCTTACGAATCGAGAGGAGGGTAGCTATCGAAGAGACCGGTGGGTACGAATGACCCACTAGCCGACTGGCCGGTCCTCAGATTATAGCCTGCATCTTTAGGGGCTCTTTTACGCAATTTTGCAAGAATTTGAATAGCTCTCCGTAAAAATATAATGCTGCCAGGGAAGAGGGGGCCCGTAGTTTTATAGTTACTCCGGGGGAGTGGGAGCGCGAGTCTAGACGGCCCTCGGACCCCACCATTATTGCTAGCAGATATGGCGCATAGTTAAAAAAAAGCCCTGTGGGAACCGCGGCCCCCTCCCGAAAGTGGGGGTATTCCGTGGTTTTTGCTCGGGGACCCTGGCTTTTTGCTCCGGGACCAACAATGCCCGGCAAGACCTCTGATTAGGTCCCCAGAACTCGGCAGGAAATTTATCGGCAATAAGAGCAGCACTCCTGGGGTACGGTCACCCTAGGACGGCTAATTCTTCGACTTAGAGCCCTTTAAGACAATTACGCGGTGGAGTACCTCGTCACTTTCTGCTCCTCGAAGTACTTGGCACGCTCCGCCTCGTTTATCTCGATGATCTTGTTCTCGAAAGCGCCGCTGAAGGGAATCAGAACGGCGCCCGGGTCGTTCTTGTCGACCCATTCCTTGATTTTGATCAGCCTGGACAGAAGAGGTTCCAGTGAGGACTTCGGAGGACCTCTATAACGAGACCGCTCTTCCTGAGGTCTTGGTTTCGCACCGAGTCTTGGTCTCGCTCCATTGAGTACAGTGGACTTTTTGCAAGACCAAGACCGATTTTGCTCACCATTATCTATAATGAGATCCTTCTTACTTAGTAGTGATTAACAAATTCGGTCTGGGTTTCGCGTTATGTCTCGGTCGTGCTCCATCGAGTAGAATGCACTTTTTGTGAAGACGAAGACCAAGACCGATTTTGCTTGTCACCTGTACTCACCACTTGTTCTTCTTGCGTATGTAGTCCTTTTCCGAGAGGTTCACCAGGTAGATGACGGGCTTGGAGGTGAGGAACAGGTACTTGTTGAGCACCTCGATCTGGAAGCCGTCAAGATTTTATAAACCGACACCGAGACAAGACTCCGATCAACTTACGTCATTCGCGCTCCAGTCGGCGAACCTGATGTGCTTCCGCTCCTCGAGGAGGACTCCTTTGACTTTGAGAAGCGTGTCCTGCAACGTGAAAAAAGAGGATCCACTGATTGCCTTCTAATGGAACCCTGATGGAGCGCCTCGCGGTGCTCCGTAAAAAATACGAGTACTATTTAGGAAGCAGCGAAACCCACTCGGTCGAGGATTGGGGAATTCGATCAGGCAATTAAGCCCCATTTTAAGGCATTCTTTCCTTGTTACTTCCGACTCCAATTTCAGGTCTGCGGACTAGACCAACGTGCAAGGCTAGAAAGTGTGAGCGGAACGATCACGGAAACCCGATCATGGAATTAAGCTCGTAAGAACCAGGAAACTCCTTAGGATTAGTTCCTAGTACGTCGACCTGGTCGTGACTTTTATGAATCTGGTTCTCCGGTCCAATTCCGAAGTTCCCAGATCAATGCTTAATAGAGTTTATAGGCGCTAATAGCTCGATCATGGGAACCCGATCTCCGGATTAAGCTTTATTAATTAAACGACTTCGTTTTATGCCACTTCCAATAGACACCAACTTATCAAAGACTATTATCTACTGTTTGTAAATTATAACAAAAGGTTTCCTTAACGTAAGAAGGGAGATACCAGGACGAGCAGGGGTACCAGGAGTCTCTTCAGGGTCTTTATCTCGCGCAAGGAACATCGAGTCGCGGGATTCCTTGACCGGCCGCGAGGAGATGCCGGACCAGGACCCCCTGGGGACTTTCGACCAAATTGCGAGGCGAAGATCCAGCCAGGGGCCGATCCGCGGAAAGGAGGCGATCGGCCAGCGAGGATCCATTCGTTCCGGGAAGACGAGCAGGGCCAGGCCCGCCCACGCTCTTAATTCAACCCCGGCAATTTGGCGAGAGACCTCGCCGATATTCGCGGGATATCCCGCGAATGGCGGTACCGGCAGGGAACCAGCTAACTCTCGTGACGACCGACTCGCGTGTCCGTCGTGACGACTAGCAGGGGCTCCGTACGCAGCGAGTTGTCCCAGGTTAGGGACGCCCCTTGGCCCGGACCGCCATGCAGTCGTCCCAGGACGAAATTGCTCCGATTGACTCGTCCGGGTCGCGTGATCGAAATTAACGAACCGATCGGAGGGTTTCCCGGGTCCGGGCTGGGAGTTCTTCCCCTGGTTCCTGCCAACGGAGAGGGAGCCTAACGAGAGTCCCTCCCTTGGGGCAGGGCAGTACCGCGCGTGGTTCGTGTCTCCTGCACCTCGCAAAACGCTCCGTCGGTACGACTCTGCCAAATGACACGGTCTATTACCGTCATTCCACCGCAAAGTGGCAATAAGCATCCGGGGGACCTGTAGGGTGCTCCTCTCGTTCCTCCACCCGTCTCCAAGGATGAAGAGAACTTGCTTTCCGACTTCACGGGTCCTCTTTCGGGGTCCAGGGTAGGCTCGATCTCTTCAGGACTTCAACCCAGGGATGAAGTGCAGCTGGGAAGAAATGCGGTTTAATTTTGAGTCCTTGGAGTCTTCTTCTTCGGGGAGGGTTGACGTAGCTTCGCGATTTTGGTTTCATCGTAGGATGTGATGCAGTCCAACTTCACAGGTCCTCTTCAGAGCCCAGAGGGTCAATCTCTTCAGGATTTCATCCTGGGAATGATGTGCAGCCGGATGTGGATCGGGAAAAATCCGCTTTAATTCTGCGTCGTTGGAGTCTTCTTCGGGGGGGATCGATGGAGCCTCGCAATTTCGGTTTCATCGTTAGGATGCGGCCCCTCCGGCGAGTCTCGCTCGTAAATGGCCTCGAAAGATGTAATCGTATCGAACAATGCCCGTCGCAGGATGACACGTTCCCGTTGCTGGTCACGAGAGATCGGCTAAGCGGTTCGTCGCCTCCAGGCATGGGCTTGCTCCTCTGGGATGGGCCTTGGACTTTGCAAATGGCCGGGTAAACGTCTTCTGGAGGAACCACCGAAGAGCCTGTCTGCTTCCAGCTTCTCCACCAGCCCTCGTCTGGGTAGATTTAAGGTTTTAACCAGCTTACTTACGTATTCGGGCTTCAGTTTCTTGTCGTTGCCTCGGACGACGAGCTTCTCCAGCTTCTCGAGATGCGCGTTCAGGAACTCCACGTCCTTCAGGCGCAGCTCCTCGCTGATTATCTCCAGGTCCCTCGCCGGGTTCACGTCACCCTCCACGTGGGTCACGTCGTCGTCCTCGAAGGCTCCTGGAAAGAAAAAAGAAGAAAGTCCACCTCGTTATCTCCTGCTGCGATTCTACCTTTCCGGAGGAAACTACCACTCGTTCGGTATCTCAACCCTTGCTCCTCGGCGTTAACGGCGAGCACCTTTTCACGAGGGTTAGACTAACCGGCGGTAACGATTATCTTGAATGGGACTTTTGAAACAAGCTAGACCACTTCGAGCAAAGACCTTTGCACTAGTGCAAGAGTCACGGAAGCTCGAGGCCGGAATATAGCACCTCGACGAGAGCCGGAGGTGCAACGGGAAATTCAATACAGACGAGACTCCTTAGTTCGTTAAATATTACTATTAATATTTCGCACCGTTTTCTCCGTCCACCGCTGAGAAATAAATTTTCACGACCTGGGCGAGCCATCGTTTGCGTATAGAAACCATTTGACATCATCATCTCGTATTCGCTGTTCCTATACTCACGGCGTACATTTCAGGGAATAAGGAGCCTCGACCGCGTTCTCACCCATTTATTTATTTATCTCCTTTTGGCTAAGGATCCGTTTATCTCGCCGTCAGCGGCGAGGCCGCAACAAAGGCTTCAGAGTGCCGGGAATTGGCCTAAATGCAACATTTAAATAACGAGGTGCTCAAAGAAGAAGCACCTGTGTCGGAGTCACGGAATACCGGGAGTCGGAATAATGTAAGAACAATGGAAAGATAGAACAATTAAAGGAGCAAAGTCGCACGCGATGCTTCTCTGGATGATCATTTATTGAGGAGGCCCCACAGGCTTGCTCTCTATAAGCTCGCAATTATGGCAGCCGTCGGCCTCTTTTATTCATCGAAACGAGAGCGTTTCTTTCTCCTTTTCCACGGGGCGATCGAGTGTGTCTACTCGGGCTCGAGCAAGGGAAATTATTTCCCCGGTCCTGCTCGCTCTTTTTCCCAAATACAGCCCCCTAGTGTGGATTATTTAAATAAACGAGCTGGCGTGACGGCGCCATTTTCGGGGAAAATTAGAGGTCGGGTTAATTGCAAAAGTGACCGACCACTGTTAAACGACCGCTTCAAAAGGTGCTTCCTTTCTTTCTTTTTTATTTTTTTTTCTTCCTTCCCCCTTTTCATTCTAACGTCTTTCGGGGTTTCCGCTTCCCCGGGAAACGCACCCCCGTAAACGAGCGACGACAATAATCCCCCGGTGCGGAACTGCCGCGCGGATGTGTATGGTTTTCGAAAGCGAGGCAATGCCCACCTTTCGCCTCGGTGACAAGTAAAATTAAAAAAAGTGTGGATTATTTTAATTATTTTAATTGCAAAAGTGATCGGCCACTGTTAAACGACCGCTTCAAAAGGTGCTTCCTTTCTTTTTTATTTTTTTTTTCTTTCCTTCCCCCTTTTCATTCTAACGTCTTTCGGGGTTTCCGCTTCCCCGGGAAACGCACCCCCGTAAACGAGCGACGACAATAATCTCCCGGTGCGGAACTGCCGCGCGGATGTGTATGGTTTTCGAAAGCGAGGCAATGCCCACCTTTCGCCTCGGTGACAAATAAAATTCACGCGGCCGCGCGCGTATTACGGAGCGGTAAGGTTTCCGCGAAGCCGGTAACTCTAGGTGGCACCGACAATTTGACAAATTGCCCCGCCAGGCGGGAAAAAAAGAACCCCCAGACGAGCGGAAAGCGAGCGGACGTGTCGGCGTTAACGTATTCGGGCGATAAGTATTGCCGCGATAATGCGCCCTCCCCGCCATTCGTCGAAAGGCGTTTCGTCGTCGGGTCCTTTCTTCCTTGCCGGCAGGATCGTTTGCGTACCACTTATTCTATCCCGATTACCGGCCTGGAATAACTTCCTGAACGTTTACGATCGCCACCCGGGATCGCCTAATGCACTACCTCGCCCCTTCCTCTTTACGCCCTTCGTATTTATACCGGAGACCTCGCGGTTTCGAGAACTTCGAGTTATGCCAATTCCCGCGGTTCCGCGGCGGGATTCTTGCCTCGGTTTACGGGATTGCGGAATGGAATACCTGGACAGCTTGCCCTGGTCGAAATGCCGGGTAGAGATTTTTTTTTATATCAATGCCTGAAGACCTTTTACGGTACAGCTTGTTGAAATTCCCTTTGCGAGGGATCTTCGCGGACGGGAATAAGAATTTTATAAGGTACCCTGCATTTTTTATACCTACGCATATTTAATTACATGCATTAAGAGAAAAACGAGATTATTAATACTTCCGATTATCTTCAGAATGTTCAATACTCTCTTCCATTATTTTTAACAGGGTAAGCGTAGGCCAGCTCCCAAACCACTCGGACTGCTTTCGTAAGTTTCATGATATTTCATATTTATATTCAGATTTCCTGTATCCGGTAATGTGGGGTAGGGAGGTCGTTATCGCTGTTATCTCTAGGAAACCTACGACATAGGTGGAAGATTCCATCGCAGGCGCTGATATGAGAGAGGAACGAGTTGCCCAGGCCTTGTCCTTCGGCTGCACCCTTGACGAGTCCTGCGATGTCGACGACGTTGAGGAAGGCTGGCACCTTGCTGGAAATAAAATCATTTGTTGAATTAAAATACGAGAAGTCAATGTTTATAGGGCAGCGAAGTTATTCCCGAGGATGCATCCTGAAGTACGAGGAGAAATGGTATTAAGCATTACGTGCTGTGGAATACGCGTTATTCCCTGAAAAGGGACATATGTACGTTAATACAGTTTTAGTGGAGTTATAATTAAAATATCAATTTTTATTCTCCCTGGTTCTATGTTATATCCCTTTTAGAGAGTGGCGCCTGTTTCTTTTCCTCATCCTGGCGGACAGAATCTATGCCTTAGGTGATCGACACCGACTTGTGCGGTCCCGAACGCGGTAATGGCGGATCCGGAACGTCGTCCACGTTGTTTGCAGCGCTTCAGCCGTATATTTTGATGGGTGCTCCCAGTCAGAAGACGCCGGGTGATGACTTTTTCCCATTCTCTCTGAGACCCGTACTTAAGATGCCGTTAGGCAGTCGGCATGTTTTTCTCCCGACCACCTCGGACATTCCGAGATTTCTAATAACTTCCAGCAGGGAAAGATTCATCGATTTCATGCTGTAACGGTCCATCGTCCATGTCCATCCCAGGAACCCACCCAAGAAGCGAGTCCCTTAATATTCCTCGATTCTACCCCTGCACTTGCAACGTCCTAAGAGATTATTAAAATTCTCATTTTTCTGGCAAGAAATAAAAAGGACAAAATTCGAGAACAACATAATATACGTTAATAAATTTCATTTTGGAGGGAAAATATGAACATGCAAACCGCACGGTTCTTTTAATCCAAATTAATTTCCAGATCGCTATAAAAATTCTATCGGTTATTAGGAATTTTAGAGGCGGTAATACCGAATAAATAAATAATCCATCTTTGATCCGTAAATGTTGGACGGTCACCCATGATCTTTCGTCGCAGTGGGTGGATGAAAAGCGGGGTAGGTCGGGTTAGGTTAGGGAGAGGGTCCACCGTGACAATGAGGTGTATTTAAATGCTAATGCCGGGCCTCATTAAACAATTAGCCTTTGAAGAGGAGGCGCCTCGGCATCGGGGAAGAGGCGCATTAGCCGGCTTTCATGATGGCGCGGTGGATCGGATGACACGTGCCCGACTAACGTGGCGCCTCTACCGGCGACCCTCCGAGATGGGTTCTCCAGGACTCCTGGACTCTTTGATGCGCCCAAATGGGGCGCGTCAAAGCGGCCTTCCGAGTCGATCTGCATTTCCAATCACTTCCGATTAACCAACGGGAGCGCTCCACGGTTTTGTCAGAGGACGTTCGAGCTCTGCCAAGGGATTAGACTCGATGTTGCCGGCGAATCGATTGGGGCTCGACCGGGCGCCATTTGCATTCCGAATTCGGCCAAGACGAGGATTCGGTCCCTCCCCACAATAACCACTTCCTTAGGGCCGATCCCTACGACGATTCGTCACAGATACACTAAAAAAGGGCAGTGTGACCTAGGAATCAAGTTTAAGTCAGAAAAAAAATAAACGTAAAATATTAGCCCTCTCGCAGTGGCTTGCATTAATTCCCGCAAGTAAATCGCGGGTAGTACTTATACTGAGAATTTTTTGGGGCCGATAAGGGTTGGCCTTGGCAAAAGAAATGTAGTAGGAAAATGTTAGGATGACGTAGGAAAAGGGAAAATCGGGTTTCCGAGATTCGGTCGTATCTTGGGATGGCGAAGAACGAGCTCCGGAGAGGGGCAGAAAGAAGGGGTGAATAATTGGCGGGGAGATTTCTATGAGTCGAATCGTTCGACGCGGAGAGTAATAATTTCAAGTCGACACAGAGGACCGAGCGCGATGCAATTTACGGAGTCGCTCGGTGTGTTTGGTATGTCTCAGTATTTCAGAGGCGAATTCACGGTCTGATCTGCATTGCAGATCACGTCGCTCGAAATGTCTGGCCCTTGCTCGTCCTCTTGCCGAGCCGCTCCTTCGAGCAGGAATAAAGGCGAAGACGTATGGAAATGTCCCCGGTTATTCCGAATCGTTTCCCCCGCGAGATGGTTTATCCTGCCAGGAGGACTCCCCGATAACGCGATAACGTATTCAGGATGCATCCGCGTTTGACGATCGAACAATATTCCTGCGATTGCTCACCTGGCCGGCTTGAAGTACTCGCACAAGTAGTCGAACCTCGTATCGGGTACAGGGACGCGACGTGCCTGAAACAGAAAGGAATTTGTCAGACAACCTCGACAATGAACAATGAAATTCACCCTTACGGCTATAGCTCGGGAACGATCGACCCCTTGCAACGATTAATCGGACCAGTCACTGGTCGAAGTCAATTTCTGCAAATTCTCGCGACGAAGAGATCCGCCTGCACTTGCTGGAAAGTCGAGCAGAGAGCGTCGACGACGATGATAACGTCTCGTCTTCTACAGCTGGTCCCATGTCTTTCCTTATCCTGGGAATGGTCACACTTGGATTGATAATTTTTTTCATATTACGAGTCGCGGTTAGAATGATCCGGCATTTCGCTTCTAGACGTCTGGTGACTTCTTCGTACAGCCTGACTTCTTTCAGGTCGCAGGAGGTATGATGGACCTTGAGGAAAGCGCCGATGAAAACCGCGGCGGAGCCGCTGGCGGAAAGTCCTGGGAGTTTGGGCCTCAAGACCCCGACTCTCTTGACAGCCCTGACGATTATAGCGGCGATGGTCTGCTCCAAAAACCCCAAATTGGGGAGGTTCTTCACCTGAACAGGTGGCAAGTTGCGCCGGAAGTGCACCTGAACCTCCGAGTACCTCCAAGGGCGAGCCATGAATTTCCGTCTGCACTCTGCAGAGCAGAATAAATACAATCTGTTCTCTAACAAGACCTTCAGACTGGTTTTCCCAGGGACTAGTTTTCTAGCTGGGAGACCATCGACATAGGTAACTAGACAGAACCCATCGATCACCAAGCGTTGGGCCCAGCACGCATGTTCCACGTCGATGTCGCCATCGAGGACCCTCGGCAGCTCCTTGGGAAGCTGTACAGGGTTTAGAGGGGGAAGATAGTCCAGAGGATGTCTGCAAAAGTCACCAAAATGCCGCGAACAGAGCCAATAGAAGTGCTCCCGGAACTGCAGGACACCACTGCGATCTGGAGGTGGTCCAGAGAGAGTCAGGACGTTCCCATCTCGGAGACACCCAGGACAATAGGACTGGAACTCGCTGCATCTCTCCTTAAACTCGTACGGGGACACGCAGAGATGCTGAAGACTGAGCACTTTGTCATAATCAGCCACTCTGAAGTACCTCTTGATGGCGGCGAATCGCTTCTTAACAACTCCATCAGCTCTGCTCCACACGGCCCATTTGCTGAGGGAGGCGTCCAGCTCCACAACATTCTGCGAGTACTTCTTCAGCCAGTTTCGGAATTCAGCTTCGTTAGTCTTCCATTGCTCGTAGCGATGGGAGATGAAGCAGGGCGAGAAGCAAGGAGGCTTCTTCAGGTGCTTGGCTTCCGTGGATAAGTACTCTGTTACAAGTTGCAAGTCCGCTTTGAGGTCGATAACCACCATCGGCTTGATGGCTAGGAAGGCCAATTCTTCAGCTTCCGACTGAGACTCTGGAAAGCCGTCCAGGATGAGGCCCTGGGAAGCTGATCTGGGGTGTATGGAGAAGAGTTCCACGGCTCTGGCCACGGATTCTCGAAGAGCAACATGCCCACCTCGTAGATGAGCGTCCGTCAACCTGGCTAACTCTGTCCAGAGGTAGTTCTTCAAGGTATGGCGTAAAGCTTGGCCTCTGGTGACCACCTTCATCCCGTAAGTTTCAGCGAAACGTCCAGCCAGAGTGGTCTTCCCGCACTTTGGAGGGCCGATTATGGAAATGGTCATTGGAACCAAAGGATTAGAAGAGTCCTGACTTAGGTACCTGATGGGGACTTGCTTAAAGACGATGAGTCTTTCTCGCCCAGCGATGAAGTACACGTATCGTCTATGTAGTACCGCATAGATGTTGCGGGCTGCTTCCATGGGCAAGAACGTCTGGAAGGGCACTTCATTTTCATACATGGTTACTGGGCAGGAGCGACCGAAGGAGCTGAGGAAGTAGAAACCGCAGTCCAGCAATTTTTCCGCGACTTCCAGGTCCACCTGGTAAGTCCGTTCCAGGAGGGACTCGTTCCTGAAGATGTAGGGATCCAGCAGACGAAGGATGGAGAACAGTACCGTGCTTTTGCTCCTCTCGGTGTCTATCTCTACCCAGGGGATGAGCTCCCTCTTCAGCTCATCCTTGACTACCAGTAAACCGTCTTGGAAATTTGAGTAATGCTCTTCAAGGTTTTGAGAGAGTCGATCTCGGGCAGCTTCCGGGTCTTCCCAGGCATCAAAGGGGTCTGGTTCCTTAAAAGTGGACTGAAATAATTCTGCTAGCTGGGATCGGTCTATGGCAGCCTGCTCTTCGTCAGGGTCTCCTATGTCAGAGTCCTCTGAGTCTTCTAGGTCGAGATCCCTCGATTCTTCGGGTTCGGTCTCAGCTTCTTCTATAAAGTCTTCTAGTGATGGAGATGGAGGAGGCGGCTGGGAAAGAGACTCCTCTTCATCCTCCTTCTCGAATTCTTCGTTCATCATCCGTTGTCGTCTTCGTCTTCTCAGCTGCCTCAACCTCTTCCCTATCCATTTATCCCGTCTCTTTGAATATTCTAATACCGCGTATTTGTACTTCATCTCCTCCTTTGCTTTATGGTGCTCTTGCTTCCTCTTCCAAGCCTCGAAGAGTCTCGGCAGTAGTCTCCTCTTCATCTCTTCCATGCTACAACGTAGTTCCAACACAATTTCAGGTACGGCAAAATTGCTGATCATCGCGTTTGCGTCTGATGGAAACGACGGAAACCCGTCCAGGATGAGTCCGCATTGATCGTAGGGAGTCTCGAAGAAGTCCAGGAGACATTCTTTCAGCATCCTCTTAGGAAGGGTGCCCCCAGTTTTGAAATAGCTCTTTACAAACGCCTCGGAGACAGCTCTATCAGAATTATACCTAAGGTCTTCTAAGTCGTCCGGCAAGTCCCCATCATGGACCTGCAAGTCTTCATCCGCAGAACTTTCGACATTGCCCACGATGTCCTGCGGACGTTCCACCCTCTGAAAGTTGCGCTCTTCCAGGTACGAGTTCAGCCTAGCTTGGAAGTCAAGATGAACAAATCCATACTCTTTCGACAATGTCGAAGACAAGGAGGTCTTCCCACTTCCTGGCGGACCTAGGATGGAAATTCTGAAAGGAGGAACGGGACTGATGGGTCTCTTCAAGGCCGCGTACTCGAAGGGGTTGACCACAAATTTCTCCATCGCCTGGTGACTCGAAAGGAGGTACGTCTTGTCCAGGAATTTGACGCAGAATTCTTCTTTGCCTTTCCAGAGAACTTTTCGCTCCGAAAGAGCAACGGGGCAATAGGGTCCAGTATCGCCTAGAGGTCGATTGTGTTCTCCATTTGCTGGTCTCTGGAATTCTTCTTCTTCCTCTTCATCTACTTCTTCGGGATCAAGAGTTTCCACGGCATCAGCTTGCATTTCTTCCTCTTTCTCCTCTTCTGACAGCAGGCGAGCTTCTGGGAGATACTTCTTGTGCATTTCCTTCAGGATGTACCGACTAGGGTCTTGGTTATCCTTCAGATTACAGATGATGACTCCCTTCTCCAACTTTTCTTGCAAACTGCTCCATTCCCTTCCGAATCGGTCCACGTGCTTAATATATTTTCGCATCTCCTCCGCCTTTGAGGGTACTCTTTCAAATCCTTCTCCTTCGAATTCCTCGCCCTCTTCGCCTTTCACCTCGTAAAGGGGCGCAGCTTCGTATTCCACCTCTTCCATGTTCTCGTAATCATACGGCTCCTCGTAGTTATTGAAGTTACGCCAATTTTCAAGGAGAATCCTGTACGGTTTCTCATCTCTGATTAAGATAATCTCATCGACGGCGGTCCCGCTTTCTTTCAGCGATGTCCACACTTCAGGGTCAGTATACATGCCATCCAGGATCCAACCACCATCTCTGGTCAATCCATCTTCAGTCAAGGTGTCTGGAATACTTCTAACTTTATCCAATATTACTTGGACTTTCTCTGTATTATTCAAAGGAGCGTGTCTTCTGCGAATATATTCCACCCTGTTATCCAAGATGGCGGCTACTTCCGGGTGGTGTTCCGTTGGGTCCGGAAGAGGAGGCTCCTCCAACAACAACTCTTCCGGTGCATACGCAAGAAGAGCGTCGTTATCCCGAAGAATCAAGTCCTGCAACCCTACATCAGTCTCCAGCAGTTCCAGACTATGTTCCTTAAGTTTCTCCCGAATGTCCTCCATCTCCTTTGACTGGCCTTCATATCCGTCAGCATGCTCTTCCGGATCCATGGTCTTCCTCAACGTCACTAATCTTTCTACAACACGACTGATATCTTCTTTCCAGGTCTCCAAGGCGAGAATTTTAGCCTTCTCCCTTTCTCGTCTCTCAGCCTCCCAGTCTTCTTTCACCTGTTCAAGAACTTCATCCAGCATCTCCCGAATCGCCATGACGACCTTCTCCTGCGTCCGCTCTTCCATAATTTTTCGCTCCTCGTCACGAACGTCTATCACGGTTCCTTCTAGACATCTGGCCAGGTCTTGACAAATTTTGGACTTTCCGGAATACTTAGGACCGAGGACAGCGACTTTGCACGTCGGTCGCGGGTTTGGAGGCAGCAGGAACCTCCTGGGGTTCTCCAGGAAGGATTCAACGGCCTCGTCGGATGATAGGAAAAATATCTGGTCCAAGAAGCGGATGGCATTTTTTACGCGTCCTTCTGCGACCCTTCCTCTGGCTAGGGCTACTGGACAGGTGTATTTCCAAGGGGACAATTTCCAACGAAACCTGGAACCAACGATACCTTTCTCACATAGTGCTGGGAACACTTCTTGGATGGCTCTGTCCTCTTCAGGCTGGGCTTCAGGCTCCTGGGCTCCATCTTCACCTTCGAGCACTTCTTCTTCATCCGACATCCTTTTGGCCAGGATCACTCGAGGCAGGTTCAAAGTTCGCAGCCTTACTCTGACTATTTCGAACATCTTCGTTGCTGAAGTGCGCCCATCTACTCGAATCACTCGTTCTGGGTTGTGCATCAGGATCAGTTTGTCTATACAAGGTAACGCATACTGCTCGTATGCGTTGCATTGGTACTCAACGTTAGCATACATGTCGCAAGTCCTCTTTAACAAGTGCTTCTTAAAATCCTCGTCGATCAGGTTTTCTTCGTTCGTGAGTTCTCGAAGAAGCTGCAAGGGAACCTCAGTGTCCAGCTCTTCATCGGCGCCTGATAGGACCTTCAGGAGCTGATCCTTCATGTCCAGGAGTCCGGTGTCCAGGGTCCTTCCCGAGTGAGGGTCTAGTCTGAATTGGGCACGCCTTTGGACCACATCCAAGTCAGGACACATGATGTAGATGATCACGGTCGGCTTCAGGGGCCACTCCTCGAAGACCTCCTTGATCTGCTTGCCGATGTCCACTTCGAAACTCTCTCGCAAGATCGTTCCTTTCATGCCAATGAAAGGACTCGAGGCGATGTCGAACGTGTCGGAGTTGGAAGGACCATCGGACAAGGATCCCCTTTCCTCGTGGTCGCGGTTGCGGGTTTTAGGGTCCAGGGATCCTGTCTCATAATTTCTGGCCCCACAACAGGGATCAGACTCGACCAACTCTTTGGTCTCATCCTGTCTGCACGTGTCCGAGTCGCAAGGACTGGGCTTCTCTTTATGTTTATCGGGTCGATGCTGGGGATAAGAGGAGTAGTCCAGGTTGGGATCGTTCTGCATCAGCGGCAGTCCTTCCAGGACGTATCCTCTGTGCAAAACGTCCGTCCTAGCGACTCTGACTTCTATCAGGTTCATCACCACCTCTGGTCCCACGTTCCTCCCAGATTGCAGAACATGGGAGATCCATCTGCCCTTTTCGGTGTTCATCCGGACCTCCTCCTTCAGCAGGAAATCCGGAGACACCAGGACACAGCCCCAGGTGTCAGCTATCATTTTCGCCAGCTTCCTGCTGTTCAGCTCTGGCTTCCCAAAAATGACGAAGCAGGCTGGGGGTGTTCCTAGGAACTTCTGTCTCGCCGATCCCTCGCAATAGGGATCTCGTACCGTGAAAGGATCCAAGGGAGCCTCGAAGTGGGGATCTGATTCTTCCACGTGCTCGCATCCTCGAAGAGTTTTCGATAATTCTTGGACCCTGGTGAATGGATTCGTGTCCTCGGAGAAGGCGTGGTACAGGTTCACTTTAGGATACCAATATGGACGACCTGGTGGCCACTCAGGATCCGTTGGATACTTTGAACAACTCTTGATACATCTCAACATGCTTCTTCTTGCTATCACTGATGTGTTCATGAACACCTGCTCTTCAGACTCATCCTTACAGCGCTGTTTGATGCCTTGCAGCGCGGATTCGTACATTGTCTTCTGATAATCGACACGGCACCAGAAAACTTTAAATCCCCAGGTTGGAAATCGAAATTGGCAACGGTAGTCGCGAGGGACAGCCGACAACCGTCAGTTGTTTCGCAAATAAAGTACAGAGGACAGAAATAATAAGATACTTATTTTCATTAGGGTCGATCGTGCAGAAAGGGAAGTTCTCCGCAGCAGCTTGGCTCTTGGTGAGGACGTTGAAGAAGGTCGACTTCCCGACATTTGGGATGCCGACGATGCCGACTTTCAGGTTGGTCCCCACTCGACCGATCAGAGGCTTCCTTTCTGGCTCGTCTAACTTCTTAGGTGGCATTCTGAAATCTGAATAGAGTCAATAAAGGTTGATTTGTCATTTTCAGGGGAATGAAGAATACATCCGATCGGCTGGGTCCGTTTCGCGTCCCCGGTGAGAACCAGGCCGAAGAGCCGCACTCTTTGGCGTCCCCTTAAATTACGCACGCAACAAGGACCGCCGGAGGACCAGAAATTGGTGGCTTAACTAATTGCAGCCGTCCAGTCCGATTTAGAACTTTGTGCCTAAAATGAAATCGCGGACGACCCGACGTCCACTTTATTATTACCGCCAATTGGCGGAATCGTTTCTGCGCCGCTTTTACGTCTCGTCGAGGGCGAGGCCGACGGTAGTTACCACATATGCCTTCGGTCGAACCTAACTCGGCAAGGTCCCACAATTTCTACGCCGTAATAAAATAACGAGTATAGTTCAGGAAATTGTTTCGGCTCCGACTGCTTTGGCCCCATCTTTTTGCATTTTTACGACATGATGACGGGGATTCCTTATTCACTTGCAAATTGAATTCCCTTTAAGATACCGCGCTTCCCTCGCGTTGCCCAATGAACGACGACAAATTGCGACCGGTAGGATTGACGAAAAGAGAACTACGATTTGACTTCCGAATTCCCTTCCGAGTCGTCTCCAATTCCGCAAAACAAAGGAGAAATGGTCTGCTCCTCCTGAACCGTCATTTCCAAATAGTTCCGCACCTTCCGAAACGCCGCCATATTGGGAGGTGACGGCGGTTTCTCGAAATTAAAAGATCCCTGGATAAAATCATCACGAAATGTAATTCTCATACGCTGGGATATTTAACTCTCGTCTATTTACTTAAGGTTCATGTTTTTATCCTTTTTATTCATGGGTTAGCGAATAGTGACGATATAGGTGTGGACATGGTCGCTCAAAATGGCGGCCATCTCGCCCCGTTTCTTCTTGGACGTTTAGCGCGGCAGTTAATTCGGAATTAAATCCCAGGTGATATTTAATAAGTCCTATCGATTCCAGGAGGAAACGTAGAACACCTCGCTTCCGTTTCGCGACAAAACGAGCAGGGTGCGGAGTTTAGTCCCTGGATTTCTGCACATATGTACAGGGCGCGGTGCATGTAATACATAGATAGGCGCGTCCTGGCCGGCGGCTTAGGTCTTCGCGATCTTCGAGTGGAGTGCTCGGGGGTGACTAATTATATTAATGCGGACAGCATCAAGCGATTGCTGTGTTTACGGGAGATTGCCGTCGGTACCAACCGCGGCGCGGCCCTGGGTATCAAACGGCGAAACGAGAGAGAGGGGAAGACGTCTTCTCTGGAAGAGGGAGCGAGAGGAATATATCTATATAGAGATACATGTATAGGCGGCAAGGGTGGAGAGAAGGCCAGGAGAGGGTGAGCCATCCAGGAGACGACCGGGAAAGGAACCCGCCGGTCAGAGGGGTCCGATTACTGGGCGCTACGAGCGCGAATCACCGGCATCACGCCGAGAATCCGCAACCGCGCCGCAGGCCGCCAATCCGCCACCGTCCCGCCGGCCGGGCGGGCGGAAAGTGGACGGGCGGACTCGCGCCCTCGGGAATACTCGAGCGGCCCGCCGAGGCGAGACCTCCTCGTTTTTCCGCGATACGGGGGGAAATTTGCAAATTGCAATAATGGCCGACCGCCTCGGCCGCTACCACGATATCGACGGGCATTCCGGCCGCGGCTGTTCTCTACTTCGATTTTCATTTTCGAGACAACCTCGAAATAAGGAAACCCCAAGGCTCGTGCCATAACTCCTCGGGATTTCTGCCGTTCAATATTTCACACTTTGTTATCAAACTTAAACCACCGTCGTCAATTTATAAAGCGATGTCTGAAAGACTAGACACATTTCGTTCGAGCTAGTAGTTGAAGCTGTCCTGTTTATTAGCGAAATTCCACGTTCGCGAGATGTCGAACCCTCGAATTAATAGTAAAATTGGGAAAAAGTTGAGATAAAACGCGTTTGCACTCTCATTTTGTAAGTGTGAAGTTTCGTGCGCGCGGTTGGAATTTCAGGGGATTTGAAAAGTGCGGGGAGTAGACAAGGACAGAGCGACCCCGGGGCGTGGCGCCATCTGGCGGCTGGCGGAGGAACCGTGTCCTAGTTTCGGCTGCCGCGCCGCCCGGTGCAACCTAACCTCTACCACGCGGCGAGAGTCACAAGCGACGTCGGCTGGAGCCTCAACCTGGAGCGAGAGTCTTTGCACTTCGGCTGCGAGGAAACGCAAGATATTTATAAATCGGAGGCGGAAGAAACGCAGCTACGGGACGCAGAGGAAGACCCCATAGAGCGAGTGCCGAGGAAATCGCGACGACGATTCGCAGGATCGGAGCGTCTCGTTTCGATTTTTCGTATAGCTTAAAGTTTGCCGCAAGAGTCGTCCGGAGATAGAAAGGCTTGCGGAATACCTGATACAGGATGCTTCGCAGAGTAATCCGCCGAGTTGCGGTAAACACGGTCGTCTTTAACTTAAGGTCCGCGCACAACGTGTCGCGCAACTACGGGAGGCCACGGCGGCGTGACGTCACGGCCGACTGGCCTCCCACTTGGAAACAGGCAGCTGCCTTATCGACCGACCCATCTCGGGGAAGGAAGCCAGGAACTCCCTGGCAAAGGCCTACATCGAGGACGTTCCTTCTCCCTCGTTCGACGTGATCTCTTTTAAACGATATCTCCCAATATTTTTATTAAAATCTGCACCTTTTCGAGAGTAACGCAGCACTATTTTCCAGGAAATCCAGACGCGGTCGTCGACAATCGCCAGAGACCCGAAGGAAATCCAAGGAATTAATTCAACGGAAGTTTTAATATTTAAAATTTCAATTATTTTAAACTAGCGTTAGACTTTAATATAGACAAGTAGGAAGGATATCGCCGAAGTTAAATGTGTAACGTGTAAGTGCGGATAATTTAGGCTAAAGGGTACTTTTTTCGGTTATCCTAAGTTTGACCGGCGACCGCAGGATTGCTCATAGTTTCTTTAATGGCGTCCGCATTCGATCCGGTCAAATGATAGACTTAGATGATCGATGCCTAGGATAAGTTGCGATAGTAATGAGATCCGATGGCCGAATTCGGGTTAGTCTCGCCGTTTGTTGTGTCCATTTCCGCGGCGACTCCGACGTCTTGGTCAACGGGTCTCTAATGGCGCCTGAGTCGTCCTTGTAGCGTGTGATTATTTCAATTATTTTATTACGTCCCGTAACAATCTAGGCCCACATAATGCATATAATCAGAGGCCTATCATTCCTCGGCGAGAGGAGGCTCGCATCCATACGCTCTCTAGACTGGCTCGCTTTTAACGATATTGTAATTTGGAGACCGCAAACCCGCTGACGTCACCGGGTACCAAGCATCTTGCCAGCGCGGGCGCAAATCGCTCGGTTCCCGGTGATCCCGTTCGTTTCCATCCGAACGATATTAGCCTACGACGGATTATAGGGATCTCCCCGAATTAAATATACCCCCGAATTGCCGGATTGCGTTACTAATTCCGGCCGGTCGTTGCGCCGGGATTTCTAAGGGTCTCTTACCGGATGTGATTTCTTTATCGGTTACGTCCAGCCAATTTTTGCGGCCCTCCTGGTGCAACATCTTCGGTGAGCACATGTGCCCAATCTCAGGATGCAAAGAAGACGATCTATGCCACCCAACTGACCAACCACGGTACACTTCGAAAATCAAGCAAAATATACCGCTTAATATATTAATTAAAAGTATATACAATATAAATGCTACAGACAGCAATAATTCCTCATGGTGCCTACTAACGAACCGCTGATATGTTTCAGAATGGCGACATTTAAGAAGTTGCGGATAAGCCAAATGTAAGACACCTTTGTGCCCTATTTTTATTTCTTTTTATCAAAACGCCACCTTTGCTTGGATATGTAGTTCTTCGTTTCATTTTTTTTTTCTTTCTTCCTCAGGAACGGATCGAGAGGATTGCATACCCATTTGTCCAGGACTCCTGGATGGGAGGATCTTACCTCGGTGTCAGTCCCGATTCGAAAGAATCATCGTTCGAGAGGGCAGATGATGCGGCCATAAATATTTAATAGCCAGATATCCCGCGCCACTGCTCGGCCTCATGTAAATCCGAACGCGTTACATTGACACGGCCTAGAGGCGACGCTCCGTATTTGGTTTTGGGCATGTAACGTATTCATACATCGCGGAGGTATCGTGTCGTTTGTAGCTTGTAATGACAGTCCGCCGCCTGGCGCAGCCTCGTATCCGTGACGTGCGGCGACACTTCATAAACATAACTCTTGTCATGGTACACGAAGTGTGGGCCGCATCGATACGATCCGACACGATCCGTCCCGACCCTTTCCGTTGTCGCTGGTTATCGCCGGATAACAGCGCGCCCTGTCAAATTCTAAGTCATTACCGATCCTCCTTGTCATCCGGCGATATTCCATCCTCCATCCGAGCATGGGTCCATGGGTTGTCATCAAGTGGGGCAAACTCGTGGATTCATGGAGAAACGGACCTTGTCAAATGAGATTCTTTTAAGAGGGGAAAGAAGATGGGCGAGGGCCTCCCGGCGGCCATCTTGAATCGCCGAAATTGCAAGTCAAAGTCACGGGAAATCGTTGGAAATCATCGAAACGTTCTCACAATATTAAGGCCAATCGATATCATCGAATTAACCTGTTAACCGGGTGTAACGAAATTTATCGTCATGTAAATCCGTTAATGTAATACGGTGAACGAAGAAGAGAGTCCCCATCGTGAAGCGAGTCGTACGAAAGTTAAAATTCCCCGGTTAACAGGTTAAAGGAGAAAATCGTTTTCACTGACTTCTAGAGTGAATAGCCCCTCGGCGCAATTTATTTACGAACTGTCATAAAGCGTAGTTGGCAATAATAGTTACCACCTTCAAATTATTATAGGGGTAAAGCACATGGAAACGTTAGCAACACAAGATGGCCGCTCGTTCGTACTTTCTGCGTCTTAAGCTTCATCCACCCAGGGATAGCGCCGACTTTTTTCGTTTTAGATTCATGAATAAATGTTCTTCGACGTGCTGACGATCACGAGAGCACCGCCATGGCGATTTCAAGAAATGGTCCTAACCAGAACTTCGGAAGTGGGCTTTCGTCGGGGTTTGCAAGTTTCCAGAAGTCACCAGGGATACGCGATTGTCTGATTTGGGATTCAACGTGCATAGGAGAGCTGCAGAGGTAATCCCGACGCGGTAGAAAGTGTTCCGCTCCGGATTCGGGTCGCGATTATCCGCGCGCGGAATTATGTGTGGGAACAGATCGAGCGGGAGGTCGGCCTGATAATTCGGAGGGGATAATATTAAAATTGGCCCTGGGTGAAATAAAAGACTCGGGAGCCGCGAGTGCGTCTGCTAGGACGCCTAGCCGATCAAAATGGCGGCCACGTCCCGGGGTCCAATTCAATAACTTCTGCATATGGATTCGATTCAATAACCTCTACATATGCAAGTGCGCGATTGTCTCCTGGGGAGTGATCGCTTAGTCATGGAGTGCGTCGCTTCGTCTCTTATGCAACCCGTTAAACTGAGCATTAGCGACCGAGTAAATAAATATTCAGCCGTCGAGCAAATTGTTAGCACATCTACGGGGCGAGAAAGGTGGAGGGTCCGCTCGAAGATATGGGTTTGCTTTCCCGTCAAGAGATACTTCTCTGGAACCGAAGGCACCTAACCTGCGGCGCATAAATATGCCTACTAACGAGGTTAATAAGTGTACACGCTAAATGGCGTTCACAAGATGTCCATTACATATCAGCGTCGGTTTAAAAAGCCGCGCGTTCGAGACCGGCAATTAACGCCGATTGAGGTAAAACTCTAGTGGCCACTTATGGCGTTAACTTTACGTCGCTTTCCTGGGAGCTCGGTTTGCGAGGAAGTATGCAGATCGGGGCGCGATAATCCGGCAAACAAATTATTTTAATTCCCGTACGCCTCTGAAATGTACGCACGCGTCAAGATGCCGCGCGATGTCGCCCCTTAATGACGTCTTACGAGACGATCTACAAGGATCTGGGAGATCTAGGAGGGTTGGCCGTCTCCCAGGCTGTTCGTTCCATGGCTATCGGTCGAATAATTACCCTGGCGCCAGAACCCATAAAGTCCTTATCTCCTCTAGGTACGTTAGTGCCTCCCGGGCGTAGAGAACACCCAATAAAATGGCAATTGGTCATAAACGTAACATTTTACGATAGACGCATCCCACCCTGCTCTAACTATTTTTATTTCGCATTAGTGTGCGCACGCTCGGTAATTTAACCATTCCGGCCCGTAGCTAGCGCAGTCTCCTCGGGGTAGGAAAGAAGAAAGCCATAACCATTTCTTTCCGCGCTAAGTGATACGTTACGTGTGGTCCCAGTGGTCCCACGGAGTCGAAGAATCCTCAAGAGGAGAGCCCTTCCCCCAAGTTTTCCTCCTATCCCATGCCACGGGGACGATCTTGCCACGATCGAGAATCCATCCCCGTAAAAAAACCCGGAAAATCTCGAACGGTCGGGAATTTATCGGGAAATGAAATCCCGAGGTGGGCGCCGCGCGCTCCAGACGGCGGACATGTGCAAATAGCGGCAGGCAGCGCCGCGGCCGCGGGAATCGGAGATACTACCCGCGCGGATTAGGACTGCCGCAGCAAGAAGCTCGTCTTAACGACGTTATAATAACTTCCCGAGCTACTCGGATCGGCGGTAATGGTCCATCGGCTCCATTATGCCCTCGTAAACCATGATACTCCGTGCTCCCTCGTTGCGCTTACCGTTGCGCTCCTTACGGCGAATAGGAGAGATTATAAAACGCTTCGCTCGCCGCGTGGCTCTTTTCATCCCCGTGCTCGGCCCAGCATCCTTACGGCGGCATTTCTCGGGAAGTTAAGCTTCCATTCGCGATACCCCGATGTCCGTTGCGATTCTAAATGCACGCCTCGCGCCATATATGAGCTCCCCAGAACGTACGCGCATCGCTCCCCTCGCATTTTCCTAGAGACTTTCGCGTCTCAAGCAGCGAGGATAATGCACAGTGCTTCGCGGCGGGATCGGCTAACCCGTACTTACCGACCGAGCAGATTGGAAGCCGCTCGGGAGAGCTTAACTTGTTACCCCGAATCCGAGCCCGAGGCGCTTCGAATTAAGGTCTAGCGATATTGCCTAGTCTTAAGACTCGACTTACTTATCGAAGGGAAATTTCTAACCTCGGGGTAACAGGGACCAGGACTCTAGAGTCCCTAGGGACTTCTAGTAACCCGCGAATCGTCGAGTTTCGGGAAACAGGGGCGCCGAACGTGTGCTCCTCGGCATGTATTCACCAAATTAAGGTATAAGGTACTAGAGGCGTGCGCACGCTCGTAAACAACGTCGGGTAAAGTAGCGGAACCCGAAAGGAGCGAAAGAGAGAAAGAGAGAGAGAGAGAGAGAACGCACGGTTCCGCCCGTCAATTGTTACCAATTGTTGCCAATCAGCGTAAATACTGTGTCATTACGGTCGGAGGTTGGCAGCAACGATCCTGGCCAGCACGTA